TTAATTTTTAAAGGGATTCTGCACACCTACGGAAAAATATCTTTCTAACAGTATGCGAAGATTTTTCCTGCGATGCACATGAGCTGAGAAAAAAGGTTTTAAAGAAACATGCTTGCCTATTAATATATAGATAGAAGATAAGCTGACCAGCTGTGTTTTGCAATTCCATAATCAAGCTTGGCTCTCAGTAAAAAAAGGTAAAGTATTTTATTGTATCTATTGCATTACAGATTCTCGAGAAGACTTACCTACACCAGATATGCAAACAAACACTTTAGGTTTTGTCTGCGCTTTGACGATTGCCTGCGCCAGATTGTGCGTCGTGTTTACTCTACTGTTGAAGACGTTCTGCTTGAAGCCTGGAGTCCATCGTTGCAGCGGATCCAAGATATTCTGGCCGGAAAGGTTCACAACTGCGGTTACGCCTTGTGGAAGACCATTCGACTGAATATCAAACTGAAAATCATCGAGTGATAAATATTATCAATCTAACAATTTGACTGTTTAATTCAAATAGTTTAGTTTAAATTACCTAACTGGCCATCGTTTATCCAGTTTTTATCACTACCTATATCATGTTCATGGTAGCCTGTAGTGTTACAGTGGTAGTGTACCTATGTATTTTTATGTATCAATCCTGGAGGTAAAAAAGAGATGTTGTTATTTTTCCCCAGAATATTATGGCTTCTTGGTATTATAAAGATTTTTGATGCAGTGAACAGATAAGTAAGATTGACATCTATTTGTTGAAGATTTTACACAAAATAGGTACAGACTTAAGCAATATTAATAAAGTTGCTGGTTTTTGTCGTCATGCCTCTGTTATTTCTTATCCAATGTGAGATTCTTGGTGTTGAAATAAACTTTGGGTCATTAGGCTCCGACTTATCATGGTCAATTGTTGTTTTATTAAAATAGACTCATCCATTAGCATTGACTTTTAGGCCTCGGCCTAGTTCTTAATCTATTTTTTTTTATCTGATATCGTAGGCCTACCATCTTTTAATCAGCTGGGTAAATATTTAGTCTCTACAAAGTCACTCCCAAAGAGTGGAAAATCGGATACACACTAAACATCTGTTATACAAAGTCAACTCCTGAATTCATTTAGCTCGATTACAATTGCAGATGGTGGCATCTAGGCTGGCTAGGTAAAATCTCCATTGGGCCTTCACACAGGTTTTTATTTAATTAGACTGGCCACCAGACTGCAATCCATATAAATCCCAAAGTAACCATGAACTTTTAAGAAAACTACAAGTCACGCCCTCATAAACCATATACCATATACTTAAAATGTTCGTCATGACGAGAAACCTTGCGCAAAACTATCCATTATTTCATAAATTGCCCTTTAAGGTCGTAATTCCTTTCCAAAGGGAACTTTCCATATACCTAATGTTAAAAATACCTCAGCTGTACTTATTTGTATGTTATTCTTTCAATTTAGGCTACCTTTTTAAAATCAGGTGTGATTATTTGTTTCTATTACTGTACCTCTTCTGTTTTGTTTATGAATTAATTTAGTTACTTATGAATTTAAACGGGGTGAAGCCTGTCCGGGTAACAGCTAGTATTCACTAAATATTGATTTACTCATTCAGTACTATAGCCTACCTTACTTGTAACCAGCTCAATAGAAACAAGCAGGATTTTACAGTTAGAAATGCTCACAACGTAAAGCCATACCACATTAGGTTTTATGTTAGGTGTCAGGGTTTACTAATTATATCTATATTTGGCCATTTATTTAAATACTGTATAAGTTTTATGTAAACTCCCCTGTTACTCAATGGCAATATAAATTGCTAACACACTGTCTAATAGAGGGTTAGCAATTATTTCATAGAGATAATTTAAATTAGGTTAAGAGAGAAAACAAACTTACCCATGTTAACCTTTGAGGTCCAGGTACTCGGGATATAATCGTTACTTCATATCCTTTTGATTTTAAAAGATAAGTAAATGCACTTCCTATGAATCCTGTACCACCTCCTACAAAGTTAAAAAATAAATTATTGAGTACACTCCGTAAACAAATTATTAGGCAAAGTTAAAAATACAGTCAGTGCTTGGTCGTGTTGATTGTAATAGTAAATTAACTCAAAATTATTGCAGGGTTGGTCTTTAAAACATGTTAAGCATTTGGTCAGTTTAACTAAGTTTATGTACACACAGTTTACATCCTGATGTCATGTGTGAGTTAGCCTATTATTTGACAAAACTGTACAGGTTCTACAGATTTTCAAGCAGACCAAAGACTTATAAAAATGCTTCTACTTTGTGCCAATTTAGACTGCGCAAGAACCTCAGTTAATCGCATAATTTGCAAAGTTATGTTACCAGGACCGGGAAATTTCCCTGTGGATTGATTGTTTTCTTCCTATATTGTACTCTTCTCCTATTTTTACTACAAATAAAGAAGGTAGCACTCTTTATCCTTCATATTGGGAATATTTATTTTTATCATTTGTTATTGTTGATGGTAGGTTTGTTGTTATTGTTTCATATTTTTTTATTTATTGTTGTTGTTTGAAATTATTATTTATTTGTATACCTTTTGTTATTTTGTCAGTTTTTGTTTTGTTTGGCTAGGTTTGGCATTGTTACTGTTGTTTGTTGTTAGATCATTATATATTGTTCATTTTATTTCTAATATTAAGCACAAAAATTGTTATTATCAATTTAAGTCATCCTGAGTTTATTGTTTTGTTTTGTATGCTGTAAAATGGAGATATCCGTTGAAATAAATAATTAAATAAATATTCAAATTGTGTCAACAAAGCAGCTACAGTACTCATGTTCTGATGTCCAATCTATTGAAACTGACAGAGCCTTTTGGGACTTGTGAGAATGTGGTTCTAAAAATAAACGGTAGATTATCCATAGTGGCATATCGGTGTCAACCATATCGTCAGTCGGAGGTTGATGCCAGACGTATTTAACCCTTATAGGCCTACTGAAGAGGTATCCTCAGTGGCTAGGGCGGTGAGACCAAAACCAAAGAAACCAAAACTGTGGATTCTAATGACACTGGCTGTGGGCTTCCTATTGAGAATGAAGATTTTTAATGAGGCTAACTTTGATGGTTAGCCTTACAAGCTAGGTAATTTCATTCAAATGGTAGGTTATTAGCACATTTTAAATAAATTTAAGATTAAGTGGTGAATTAATTAGCTTCGTTGTAAAATAGCCACAAAAAATAAATTGAACTGTAATCAATTTTACCTAGTAAAACATGACCAGGAGATGAATTTGTTGCCATTGTCCTACAGCTTGAAACACTGAAGTGATATGAAATACAAAGTCCATGGGTAACATTTCCAACTAGTGACAGTAGTTTTGCCATTACAATTTAAATAAAGACACACCAAAGCTTCAAAATGTCACCGTTCAAAGCATTTTCAATACAATAAAAAGTTATATTAGGTATGATTTAATTTAAAATAAAATTATACGGTTTATGTAAGCTAGAAGAAAGAGGGTAAGAAAATAGTGACACCTAGAGCAGACGACAAAACACAAACTTCTTGTGTAGCACCTTCGAAAAAAGCTGATAGTTTATAGTGTGTATCCAGACTCTCAGATATATTATGAGAAGTAGTGCCATTGATTTTATTCACTCAATGGTATCGCCAGCGCAGTGTGGAGAAGTTAAAGGTGGCCGTGGGGGGGGTGTGGATACTGAAGTCAGTATTATCACATTATACCTAGAATGTTTATTCGTCATACAAACTTTACAAGAATGTGATTTTCACATATAAACATGTAAAATGTAAAAAAAATACTTTACTAACTAATAATACCTTATGCTAAATTTCTTTGTTTTTTTATCAATACATAAAACCTAAAGCTACATTTTTATAAAATCGTCTAGGAAATAAGGACACAAGCACAAGAGGATGAGATAAGATTTTAATTTTCCGTTAAAGGATACATATTTTCTTCAGTTTTAATTTGTTCTGGGAGGTTATTGTAGATTTTCCTGCCCTTGTACCATGGCGCTCCTTCATACAGAGTGCTGTTCAGGAGACATTTTAGATTTTCATTTATGTTTACACCAAGGAATTTAGTATTTGTAGAAGATTTTATGGAATCGCCTGATTTAGTTTGTTGTGGGTTATGGAAATGAAGATGAGTTCTGGAACAGTTTGGATGTAGCCTAGGTAGTCCGGTTTGGTGCAAACCAAGCTATCATGGAATCTAAATCTCTAGATGCATTAGCTGCAAAGAATATAAGGTGCTTTTTTTTGTTGTATCATCGTCATCAGCGATTTGAATAATTTTGGAAGAAAGTGACAAAGACAAGTCATTGATGTAGAGGATAAACAGAAGAGGCCCTAATGTAGATCCCTGCGGAACACCATGGGTTACTGAGCTCCATTCAGAAAAATGTTTGACACCGGATTTATCTTTGATGACAAACCTGCCGATCTGTAGGTGATGTAAGAATGTAACTAGAAAACCTGGAAAAAGATGAACCAGGTATCCTATACAATCTCAATTTCTCCAAGGGAATGTCATGCCTGACACAACCAAAGGCCTTAGACAGGTGTGGTACATTTAAGGGTGCTATTTTTGCTTCGGCGATCGAGTCTGCTACAGAAACCTGGGACTAAAATGTATTAATATTATATTACAGCATAGAGCAAATATTACAGTTAGGTAATATTAAAAGAGCTTCACGATAAATTTGAAAGGAGTTATTTATTTACCACATATATTTTATCCCATGTACTTATCTTATTCAAACTTCCTTCGGCTTATATGATTATAGTGTGTTAACGGTCAGTGCTTATATCCTGTATTTTTTTATTTTTTTTATTTGTTGGGCTCAACACGGCTCAAGGATTATGGATTATCTGTAGGTGGGTCCCATAGTGTCGAGGGACTGGGAGTTCACTACCATATGTGTGTGTGTGTGAACCATTCAAGCTGAATACCGAATTGGGTGGCAACACTGGTTCAATTGAAGTAAGTGTCATCTCCATCTGTCAAGGAGGGGTTTGTGTGTGTGTGTGTGTGTTTGTGATTCATTGTTTTCACCGATTACATAAGGGAAAATACTTTCTCTAGATAAGAGAAACTCAATTATTAATGTTCAAATCGCTTTTTACAAACATTTCTAACGTAGTTAGAGGATCGAGCAGATTTACTGAAGGGGTAAATATTATATTGTAATAATAAGTACTGTACCGGTACCTATTTTATATGCCTTGGTCATATTGTTAACCAATAATGGTGAAAACCTAAACCTTTTCAATTGTTTACATTGTTATTGCAATACAATAGTGTTACTACACAAAGGTTTAGTTTAGGCATTGATTATATTATTGATTTATCACTTGACACAGAATATTGTCATTTTTTGGCAGCCCACTCAACAGATTGCTCAATGTTTTTTGGCTTCAAATTTTTACATTACATGTATAGTCTATTCTGTATTATACTATTAAAGGCCCTATATAGGTTTATGTGACAATTAGTGAGTCTTCCCTGTAGTTATATGTTTAGTCAAGGCATTGACTATACACTTATGCCTACCCTAATAGACTTCCCATGTAGTGTAAAGGTCGAAAACAATAACCTAAATCGGTACTAGCCTAGGCTATTATAAAATTGAGGTGGTGTTTGTCTGTCTGGGCGGCTGTCACGACCTAAGTTATTTAAGAACTTGTTATAGTGTTGGTATCAAAGAACAATTTAGCAACGTCCTTTAGAACGTTATATGTGAATCAGCGGTTAGAAAGAATAACCGCCAAAATTAACCACAAATACTTATGGCCCATATTTCTAGGAACGTCATAAGCCTATTCACTTCCTTGAGTTCCTCTCGGGCTTTGCCCCTTAAATGTCTAAAGTTTTGAAGTGAGGTTTTCAAAATTAAATATCTTATACCTATTGATTGGTCTCCATGGCAGAATGAAAAAAAAACTCATTATGTTTCTTTACTTTGACATTTCAATGTAACTTAAACAAGCAACTGCCAAATGCTCATTTCACAATATCAGACAGCTGATCCAAAGAAAGTAATAAATAGTAGTTTACAACGATTGCGTAATAATAGTGTCGTTATAGTAGTTTACGTAACAATTGCGTAAAGATAGAGTTAAAGACACTAGTAGAAAATTTAAGGCACAAGCTTTGGCGAGTGCCTTAAAAACTTCTGCGAGTGTCGTTAACACTAAGTTATTTACACAAGTTGCGTAGACTACTTCACCTACAACATTGTTTTAATTACTAAAAATCACTACTCAAAACTTCTAAGAGAGGTTATGTTTTTCTGGTACTTTCGTATTACACTGAAGCCACTTATTTCACAGCATGCTGCGGCGGTTTGGTTATCATAAATACCTATGTATTTAAATACCTATGTAGGACTTTCCTCGTTTTGTTATGAATCGACTGATACCAGATGAGTCATAATCAATTTATGATAACCCAACCTAACCTAACCACCGCAACGCGCTGTATAAGGGTGGCCTCCGTATAATACAAAAGTGCTATACGGAAATATAAGTGATATTTGAATAAAACATATGTTATAAAGATTAATTTTTATAAAATAAACAATTATTATTTTGTTTCCAATCTGTCGTTCAGCTTCCTTCTTTCCCTTCTTGTTTCTTTTTCCCTTGCCTTTTATTGCTTTGTTATCGACTAAAATCAGCTGATTTCAAACTACCATTTATTTTTGCAGTCTGCCATGGAGCTTCTTCATGACGTTGACGTCCCTGTTGAGAAGGCGACTTTTGGAATGGGCTGCTTTTGGGGCATTGACTCTCTCTACGGGGGAAAAGTTGGAGTGATTCGCACTAAAGTTGGATACGGAGGGGGGAAGATGGCAAACCCCACTTACTATAACATGTGAGTAGTTTTGAAACGTGTAAGCCTACTTATTTTATTTTGCGGATAAAAAATATAACTTTTATGTTAAATCTGTACAAATTTCAATTAATTACTGAAATTAAGACACATTAAGATCAACACTAGGAATTACAATGTGTGTTTTTTTAAGTGTTGCGTGTTGTTTATTCAGGCTCAATCAATTGTCATGCTATTTGGTAACACTTTCTATGTCCTAATTGTTTTAGAGGTGATCACACAGAAATTACTCAGGTCGATTTTGATCCTAAGAAGATTACTTATGAAGACTTGCTGAAGGAGTTTTGGAAAAATCACGACCCAAGCTACAAAATGAAAACACAGGTGATTGGGAACAATTTTTAAAATTGGTCTTCTTAGGTATTTGTTAATAATTGTTCTGTTATGGTCTTTGGTTTTATTTTTATAAAACCTGGAATACCATAACAGTATGTTTTTATCTTTAAAGATTAACTTATTATTATGTTAATTTCTACCACGTTTTGTGTTTAGGCTATGTGCTGCAGACAAGAGGAATGTTTCACCCTCTGTCAAATATGATTGATCCACTTCTGCTGGGTTACTAAAAATATTCTTGCTTCAACACTTATTTTTTTTGTTAGGGGTTTTGCAGTTTTATCTTAAATGGAGAATTTTCCACCCTCCACTACCTACGCTGTGACCCAGTCTGGCAAATACCTGTGTTAGTTAAATAAATAGAGATTAGAATAGAAAAAAATGACTAAAACAATAATCGATTGGCTGAAAAATAACCCTCTCCTGGATTGTTTAAACAGGCCTGAATTGGTAACTTGTCATTTGATCAATTTCCATTTACACTACTTACCTTATGTTTTTCTGCCGTAGTACTGTTCCCTGATTCTCTACCACAGTCCTGAACAGAAGGCTCTGGCAGAGAAGACGAAGGAGGAATACAAACAAACACAAAAAAAAGAAGCGTCCACAAGGATCGAGCCTTTTGACAAATTTTATGACGCTGAAGGGTAAGTTTTTTTTCTGATCATGAGGTTTGTGTTTCGTAATCTATATAATTAATACGCTACATGAAACTTTGTCGGTTGAACTCCTCCGCCATTTCTTAACCGATTTTATCCATTGACGTCTCATTGGAAAGAGCGTGTCACGTAGATTTGCAAACTGACCTTACATTTTTGAAATAGTCCCTTGGGCTCTGCCCCAGTGGCTTTGAAAGTTCCCATGTTATCCATATGGAGAACACAATTGTTTACATTTTGATCAGCTGTATAATTTAATTGCTGTTATTTATTTTCCAATTGAAACGCATTGGGTACATTTATTTATTTACTAGGCTTGAGTTTGTGTAAACATAACCCCCAAGACGGATCGTGTTAGTATGGTTGTATCTTAAATTTGTGTATTTATCGTTGTTTTGTGTAGCTATAATTAGTTTATTTGATGTTTTTTTCTTTTAAATGCCTCCGACGCGACGACAACGAGCGGTTCTAGCGGCGAACGCTGACACTATGTTAGCAATCGTCCCTCCCGTGTGCCCCACCGGTCAGCACCTGACCCTGGACAATCTCAACTATTAGGTTACAAATGCGCCCTAACACTACCCTAAAAACGGGAACAAAATTTTCGTTCTCAATTGACCCTCCATCAATGACCTGCGTTGCCTGTACAGCGAGGCATTTTGAGAAGGAGAAAACTGGCCGGAATGCTTTAGGTTTATCAATAACGAATATAAACCTGGACAACCTTATTTGGCTATAAGTCAGGAAATGTTTGTAGAAAACATTAAAAAGCAATACCAGGTTATAAAACATGATACAATATTTACAGGAAATGTTGATTACTGTTTTAAACATCGTGAGTATCTCCATGAGTTACACACCGGTAATCTTTGAGTTGATTCGTTTATACTCATTGTAAATATGACTGTTATTAGTTTTGAAATAACTCATGTAATACTTTGCTGCAATTGCTCGAATTCGAGCAACATGTACACTAGTGTGTATTAAAGCACTAATTATGTAAGGGATTTTTTATATTTGGGATTTTAAAGAACTAGTGTTCTGTGAATAAATCCTCAAGACGAAGTTTAATATAAGTGAAAATTGTAAATAATTTTGATTCTAAACCAGGCCAAGGGTTGCACATCAAAAATGACTAAGAAGGACAGGACAGGAGAGGACTTAAAAAGGTTATTCAACGGCGTTGTCTTTTCTTCTCCTGGCAGACAACATTATACACACCACTCACTAAACACACAAGATTATGCACTTTACGCTCTTAACATTTTCTGGTTAATCAAATGTTTTAAGGCAGTCTTCCAACCTTTTCTTCCTTGTATACCATTTCACAAAGCAAAAATATTTCACCTTTTTCAGTTGGAGGTAGACATAGATGAATGTTATTCTTTTACTAACCTAACTAACCAATTTTCAACCACGAGTATGATCAAATTGAGCTAAAATTAAGCTTGCGAATATTTTAATTATTCCCCTTAGAGATTCCGCACATGTATTCGACGCTGTAAACGACTTCTGTAAAAACTTATTTTATGAAGTTTAATTTTTTAAGAAAGCTCAATTTATTTCGCAGCTATCATCAGAAGTACCGTTTCCAACAGCACACGGACCTCTTGAAAGGGTTGGGGTTCAAGAAAGACGATGAGAAACTGAAAAGTTCGCACGTTGCAGCTAGAGTCAACGCCTACCTTGTAGGGATGACTACGGTGAAGCAGTTTGAAGAGGAAGCACCAAAATTGGGATTCAACACAGAAACGACCGACTACATCCGAGAATATGTGGTGAAATACCAAGGAAGAGGAATGGTGTGTTAAACAGAGTGATACAAAATATCACTAATGTGCCTACAATAGACAATAGACAAATTTATTTTTTATGTTCTAAAAATTCATCTTGCAGATGAATTTTCAAGAAATACAATATGTTTCTTTAGATCTCTTGCTTTACAAGTATTTTCTGGTCTTCTATCTTTATGAGACTAGCTGCTGTACCCGTGCTTTGCAACAGAAAGAACTACTATACCGCCGGATCTAAACACTTGTTAAATAGTTGTATTTGTATTGTATTTGTAACAAATTTATAAACAAAAAAAGCCACAAAAAATAAACAAAAAAGTATGGTATAGGTCTCCATTGTAATTTTCCTACTTTTTACATAAAAATATGTCAATACCTAACTTTATTTTCATAACTTGGACATTTTAATAAATCGAAAGGAGAGCCTGGGTTGATACAGCAACAGCTATACCTTTTAGCGAATTTCCCATATAGGGAATAAGCCATTACCGTAGAATCCATTCACAAATTAAAATAGGCTCAAAAGTCAAAATAACCACAAAACATGAATTTTAATTAAAAAAATTACATGGGCCTTACGGGTTGCCGAAATAACAACGAAATATAAACAGAAAAATCATAACAAATGGAAGGAATTCCAATCACATGATTTATTTACAGCGTGGGATGAAATTAGAGAAATCTGTAGCCTATATTACATATCTTTGGTTGATTTTTCGGCCACTGGACGACCTGTGTTATATGTATGTGTTATAATGTATCCGTTAGCAAGATAACTCGAGCAAAAATGGTCCGATTTTGATGAAATTTTGGTACAACCTACGTTTATTTAAACAAGTTTGAGAACCAGCGTGATCAGACCATGGGAACGGGGATTTATGGGGTAAAAATTGGTTTTCCTAATTTTTTACAATAAAAACATAATATTTCCTAATTTCTCTCTAAATTATTTTGAAGAGCTTAAAAAACAAATAATTTAGTAAATCGACACATTCAACATCTCTGTGAATGTTGGGATGTTTTGTTCGCATGGCTAGGGAGGTCTTATTCCTGATTTTGAAATCACGTAGAGTGTGGCAGGTCCAAATCCCGCTAAATAACCGATGGATTTTTTCCAAGAGATAACTCTGTGACCCCGGGCTGGAACATAGCATCCTAGGACAAAAAGTATATGTTCAAATTCACCCAAATCATCTTTACACAACAAACTATTATTTTATGAAAACCGCATATTAAATGTATATTGCTGCACTAGGTCAAATAAGCCTGTATATAATGTTGTTGAGCTAATGTTAAATATTATTTAAAAGTTTATCTAACAAAGTAAAATGTTAGGTAATTAGTTTCTGTATTGCTCAGCCTAATCAAAGAGAGGAATCAAAGACAACCAACTGCTAAAGGATATTGTAGCACATGTTAAAAGTTATGGTCTGTCTTTGTTTGAACGTTAATTTCTACAGTATGTTTGTTTTTAGTTTTTATTGGTGAAAGTGAAAGTATATTTATATATTTATTTATCGTTTGGATCTTCTTTAAAATGTGTTGTAAATTTATCTTTGTATTCTGTTTACTAATAAAAAGTTCAAGGAAGGTATTTTAATTAATTATTAACCTGAAATGTGAATTCTAAAGTTTGTGGCTATTATTATTAATGTGAAAATGAGATATTGTTCATTGATTTTATCTATATATTAATTTGAAACTGTTTTTCTTTGTGACAGCTAATTTGAGAGAACGGCTGGGTGTAGAAACTCGGTAGGGGTCTCTAAAAAAAGGTCTGGGTCTGTAGATGAGCCATCAAAAGAGAAACGTGGTAAATTCCTTTGGGGCTCTGCCCCAGTGGCCTTTAAAGTCCCATCCCATGTTATTCTTATGGAGGAAAAACGGGGTTTTGTCACAGCTAATTACAGAGAATGGCTGGGCGTAGAAACTTGGTAGGGGTTTCTAAAGAAAGGTTTTGAGCCATCAAAAGAGAAACAAGGTAAATTCCCTTGGGGCTCTGCCCCAGAGGCCTTTAAAGTTTCCTCTTCAGATTTGTTTACATTACGACCATATGCATACATTTACACTACTTTTGAATGAAACAGCTGTTAATATTTAAATTGTGTTGCAATGGTTTTTTTTTCTGATTTTAAAATCGATTTTCTTCTGAATTGTGCCATGTTTAGCAATATAATGTTCTATTACCAAATCAGTGGAAAATCCTAATATCACAGTAACTCTTAAAATTATTTCTTATGGAGTTAACTTATATCTATTGTATGGGTTGGTTTCTGCCTTTTTACCACTTCTTGGAGATTGCACGTAGACGATATTCTTTGGCGTATTGCACCTGTAGTAGACGATACTTGGTTGGTGTTATTTTTAAAATTACAATGGAAAAAAGAGAGAAATACTGGACAATTTAATATACTACAAATAAAACTGAATTAACACTGTGCTACATTTCTTGAGCAATAATTGAAAGAGCCGATTTGCAAACAATGGAAACAGGAAAGTCATAGAACACAACCAAGTACAGTAGAAGAAATAGAAAAAATGTTTTTTTTTTCATTTATAATCGTTAATTTAGACAACCTAATGCGGCTACGAGTGGGGAAAATTTGTAGAAAACACTAAAAAACAAGGTCAGCTTTTGAAAAAAGATAAGATTTTTACAAAAAATTTTGATTATATCTAACTGCTGTGTACATCTTGAGTATTTCCATAATCTTTGAGTCAACTCTTATAAAGTCATCGGAAATTATGACTGTTATTCGTTTTAAAATAACGCCTGTAATGTTTCGCAATTGCTCGAATTCGAGCAACAGGTACACTAGTCATGGTTGGTTTTGAAATGTCTTCTCAGCTGATGAACACTAAAGATATCGCATAAAACCAGTTTATGGCCGACTCACACAGTAAGGATTTTAAAAAGTAACCAAATTTCTTATTAAACTACAACCTATAAATAATCTACTCATTCGGTAACATCAGGATAACCTTAATTGGCATGCCTTAACGTTAGGTATATGTTGCCTAGGCTTAGGTTATCCTTTATGATAGATTAATTAACAGCCATAATTACAGACGGATTAAGTTTTTCTCAAACATCTAACTTTTTTCAATTCAATTCAAATCAAAACTTCTTTATTCATCTCTTGTACAAAATACATTGAATAGTGTCCACAGTTCAGCTGTAAGTAGGCCTAATCCTTATATATAATACGTGAAGGCGATTTCTTGAAAACACTACTCCTCCGTTAATAATGGACGGATTTTTACAAACGACGTGTCAAAATAAAATATTTTTTGTGTAGACACCCCCTTTCACCAATTCATGTAGTAAGAATCCTCGGGCTTTGCCCCACAGGCCATCAAAGTTGGAGTTTCTCCCATAAGATTAACATGGGGGAATCTAAATATTTGATTGGAAACTTTGTCCCCACTAATTTGAGAGAACGGTTGGGCGTAGAAACTTGGTAGAGGTGTCCAAAGAAAGGTCTTGGTCTGTAGATGAGTTATGAAAAGAAAAACTAAGCAAAATCCCTTAGGACTCTGCCCCAGAAGCCTTTAAAGATCCCTCCACAGAGTTGTTTACATTTTGGCCATGAGAATAATACTTTTTAATGAAACAGCTGTTCATTTTTAAATTGTATTTCAAACAACACATATTTATTGGGAGTTGAATTCTACCAAATAAGTATTTGCAATGTTATTTTCTGATTTTAAAATTGATTTTCTTCTTTACCATGCCATGTTTTGCAATATAACGTTCCATTACGAAATCAGTGGAAAATCCTTTTATCACAGCAATTCTTAAATTATATCTTATTGAACTATCTTATATCTATTGTACGGGTTGGTATGTGCCTTTTTCGCCACTTTTGCCTACATTTTATCATATTATTCTACAAAATATCAAATATTTACGTAGAAATATCTGCTCTTATTGTGTCTAATAAAATCCAAACTTAGAAACATTGCCTAAAATGGTACCTATCTTGACAAATAATTTGCACCTGCCTATATTACGGACTTAGGCGCACTGAATTAGTAACATTATTGAAAATAACACGACATTTTGGCTGTAAAATATGGTACAAAGAGAAAATACTATTTAAGCAGCTACTGTCATGACAGATAGGTCATATTCCTTTTAAACTAGATCACATAATCCTTTGACTGGGACGGGTGGCGTCGTCCTGTAATCCAGCTACTAGGAGGTCATGAATTGTGGATATTTATAGGAATGCACTGTGGATGCGATACTCCCTGGTGTGGATTAACGTCCGCACGAGTGAGTACTACGACTACCCGCAGTGCTATCCTTATAATTATACCAATTCATAAATACCAATGCAAAAAAAAATTTGGTTCCAATTCAACTATAAACTGTAGATCCCTTGGTTGCCATTCGCTGTATGGGCTATTAATTAACAGCTGTATCTAAGGAATGTCGGCCTTAGTAACTAACAAGACTTCAAGATCGCGCCACTCTTCCTACACTCATCTCCATTCATACTTGGCTTACCTACTATGAATGGTCGCCATAAAAAAAACGTATTAAAGTATTTATCATATACGTTGATTAACAATATGTAAACGTCAATATATACGTAACAGCCATTTTACAGTATTTTTGCTTTTTGGAAATGTTCAATTGCTATGTCATTTGCATTATTTATTGCCAATGAAGCCGCCAAGATCATATGAACTAGGAGGCCCCTAACAGTTCAAGAATAAAAGCCAACTTTACTTCATGTATTCCACTACACCTAATATTCCGTAGAGAGATTATATTGACAACTTTATGTTATTGATAAGGCCGAGCCCGAGACAACTGACATCCCCCATGTCAAGGAATTCCAGCTTTATCAGTAACCCCACAGTCAATTTCTCAAAACTATGCTAGAGGGTTCATTCATTGGCACAGAAGTACGATATGAACTGACGCGACGTGACGAAGGAAAATCAAACTTACACTGTAACGGATATACCTCCCTTTGAAGTTAGAACGTGTCTTCTCAACAAACATATATTTTTTCTCAAACACTGATGAAATCACGGAAGTGTTTAGCTACAAAAGATCCACCAATACGATTTAAATACTATTTAAAGGTTCTACCAAAGGAAGAGATACCATATAACATACTAATAATAACTCCGATGACGTACAGGATAGGAAATATTTTAATCATTGAATGAACAACCAAATTTGGCAACTAACGCAATATTGTTATTGTTTTTACACTTACTCTTTGAACAATGTTAAATGCTCAAAATATGTATATTTCACCCAATTCATCGCAGTTAGATGAATTAACGTAAGCCTTGAAAGTAACCGTCGATTTCTACGGGTTTCCCCTAGTATTTATTAAATACATTTCTAACATAAGAAAATAAAAACAAAATTTCACAAACTTACTTTTTTTTTTAATTGTAAACAAAAAATACATATCCTGAATTAGTTTTTGACCTCAAAGACTATCCAACTCTTCAAAAGAAAAAATAGCCTTGCTGATGAGAAATCTTTTTAATTTATTTTTAAATATTGTTTTGGAAGTCTCTTATTTAATTTCGATTGGGAGATTATTATGATATCTTTTGATATCTTTAGTGTACCACACATAAATCTGTCACAAGAGTTTCTAAGACAATTTAGTCTATTTTTTACTCCAAAGCATTTATGTGATTTGACTTTAAACCGTAAGCTTAGAAATAGCTGTTTAATGTTTATGGAATGGTCTGATAAGATTTTAAACAATAGTACCTATATTTTGTACCTAGGACCGAAAATGAGGTTTTGCCGGCTCGAGATCGGTTTTTAAGTTCGAGACTAAGTCGAGAACTTGAAACGATCGAGAGCTACAAAACCATTTTGGCCCGTGGTGCTAACGCTATTTTTCACCACAATATACCCCATTACCACTATTCACCACAATAATAAGGATGTAATATGATACATAATGAAGATTTTATGTGATTTTTTTTTCTTACTGTTGCTGGCATACCCTGACAGCCTACACAACTTCAACGTTAGGATTATTTTAAATATTTTGAGGAATCAGTAAAAATAATAATAAATAGTTGCCAAGGCATTGGGGACAATAAAACAAGTCTATTGCATACTGCTTGTGTATTTTTTTTTTTTTTTTAAGAGGTTGGCTGGTTCTTTTAACCTTGCATTTGCCTGTCCACATAGACTAAGCGCCCGTGCGTGGATCGTTTACAGCAAAGCAAGGAGTGAGCTGGTACAGTAAAGGTGAACTTTACTGATAAAATGTTATCAGCTGTGACCAGGATCCGAACCCACGACATCGCTGCCTTCGGCCCGAAGAGTCCGCGACGCTACTGACTGAGCCACCGACTCACTAAATTTAATATACATTAATGTTTTAAGTAAATAAGCAAACACTGGTTTTCGGCCCTAGGGATGTAAAAGCTGCTCGGTCCCCTCTTGACGATGCCAGCTGGTGTGGACAGCAATACGTAGCTTTCAGCCTCCAATTAAGGTTTGTAAAACGGCTAAAAACATCGTAGTGTGGTGAAAAATTGAGACAACTCTTTTGAAATCTCAAACATTGAAATTGGTCCACAAATAAGGGAGGAGTAGTGTTAACAAAAAACGGCTTCACGTATTATATATATAGATGTGCAATCAAAAGATGGACTGAGATTTCAAAAAAATTCCTCTTTGCTTTTCTTGTATGTAATAATCAAAACTTACACACTATAACTCAAATTTCAAAACATGAAATTTTACTAACCACTTTACTTATTACATCAATGATGACCCAATTGCTTCATTTAATAGAATAAAATACTTAGGTTACTAGGTTATTACATCAGAAAAAAAATTAAGATTCAACTACAGTAGAGTCCCGTTAGTCCGAAATGGTTGGGACCGGGCCCATTTCGGATTACCGAATATTTCGGATTAAACGTTTTTTTTGTTTTTTTTTATTTTTTTAAAATTTTAGAAAAAATTTTTTTTACTTTTTTGAAATTTTTTGGGATTGTTTTTTAGACTACTTAGACCTAGTGGCTGCAGCATTATCACTTCATAAAATCCATTTGTGATTTGGGGGGATTGGAACCCTGGACGAAAATAAAAAATGTTAATAACAAAAATTGTGAAATATTTAATAAAATACTCAACAAAAAAGTCTATCTTGCCCGGCCGCTACAGAATACTTTGACGAGATACAGCTAACTGTGTTAAAAGTTTAATAAACAAAAATTTAAAAAAAATTCCTAAATAATTTCAAAAAAATTTCAAGTTTTCAAAAAAATTTCAAAAGTTTAAAAAAAATCAAAAAATTTTCAAAAAATGTTTAAAAAAATCAAAAAATTTTCAAAAAAAATTTAAAATTTTCAAAAAAAATTTAAAAAATGCAAAAAAAATTTTAAAAACTTATTTTTTGGTTTCGGATTAAGCGGACCTTCGGATTACCGAAGTTCGGATTATCGGGACTCCACTGTAATTTTTTTCTCATCGACTTTAGCTATGCTGAGAGTCGTTAATCCTGCTCACTCGTTATTGAAAAAGAACCACTTTTATAAAGCGGCAGGTAAGTAAAAAAAAACTAAAAAACACTTTTCAAAGTCTAAATTAAAACTTTTTATTAAAAATTTGATTAAATTTAAAAATTTAGACACCGGAACCAAAAATTAATTTTTCAACAAGTTTCTTGGATTTATTAATTGAAGAAAACCATAATAAACTTAAAATGTATTTATATTGTAGACTTAAATGCCTGTTGGAATAATTCAACACTTAATTTATAGCAAAAATTTAGCCACCAAGATATTTTTCCCAGAGATATCATTCAGACATGTCATCAGACATTTTGTCCATTCACTCAATTAACATTAAGTAGTCTTAATTGTGCAATGAAACAGGCCAGCAATTCAGCAATGCTACAGGAGTGAAAAAAGGGCTTATTGGCAAAATTTTATAAATTTGTCATTAATTTTATTAAACACTGATTATTACCGATATATTCAGTTTGTCCGTATTTTTTAACCTGTGACAACAACTATTTCTAAAAAACCTCAGTTGGGTAAAATAAATAAAAGTTTTAGGCTGGGTGAAATTAATTGTTCTATTAAATATGTTAACAATAATTATAGCACTTTTATTCATAAGTTTTTTACTAAAAACGTAATTGCATTGCTTTCTACTCCAGCTCAATTGGCAAAACTGGAAGTTACTAATAGCTCAGTAAACTATTTCTTGTCATACTCATTTTGTAATTCAACTCATTTTTCAGGGAATTAAAAAACAAAAATTAGTAACACAAGGTATTTACTGTATATCTAAGTTAAAAATTGTGATTTTGAGGTATCAGATGAAAGGTCATAGGTAGTCAAAGAGAATCGGGACTCTCAGGCAATTAAGTCGGTGGTGAGTGTGGATGCATGATTAGGATCCATCACAGTTGTAACAGGTAGGGTTTAGCTATAGCAGCACCGCTGAGCTACCAGAGTATAATCAATAGGTTACCAGTTCGATACCTGAGAAGTCAGTAGCTTTTTACTGTACTATATTCCCCTATACATAATATATAGGGAAATTACCGTATTGTTTTTGTCAAAATTTTCAAGATTGAGTTTTAAGTGGATATAACTTACGGTATCTGTTTTGGGCCCCCCTGAACCCAAAAAAGTAGATTTTTACACGAGAGTGGATGTGTATAGAGCTACAGACCTCTCCTTTGTTGCCACTTTGATGAAAACTTTTAGTATGTGGATTTTAATCCATGGTGTATATTTCCATGCGGTTTTTTTCATCCTTATGAAATTTGTTTTTTCATGATTAATTTCCCATAAAAACCTACAAAATAACGGAAAATTCAGATAAAAAAGGCCAAAAGTGTTTTATTAAAATTTAGTATATTATAGCCCTTTTAACTCTGAAAAAATAGTGTAAAATATGGTTCAAAAGCTGTTGCAACTCAAGCAATCTTCTCATAAAAACCAATAAATAATGGAAAAATCAGATTTCCACAAAACTACTCAACTGTGTTTTGATTCAAATATAGTACTGTATGCCCTTTCAACTCTAAACAAAAGTGTACATACCCAATTTTGTAAACATTACTGACAAAGAGTTATCACAACACCGTAAAATATCTTAGTTACTCCCACAACTTCCTCATGATAAGAGATGTTGACAATCTAACAGGAGAAAGTATGTGTCAGATTGCTGATACTGTTTATTAAGCCACATTACGCAAGGCCAATTAGTTAGCAGGTAGGTTACTTGCGTCAGGTGACTTGAAATAGAACCTGCCGCTCTACTGGCCTCGTGCAAACGCGGCTTTAAAACTGAACTCAGCTTTCCTCCATCACAGGCTTTTGATTAATGGTCCCAAAACAGCTTATTTTAATCAGCAGCAAACCTACAACACACTATTCTACTCATCTCTCATGTTACAGGTATCACCAGAAGTATCATCTACAGCAGCACACATGGCTATGTTCTGCACTAGGCCTAGATGACCCGGACAGCTCCTTACTGCTTCAATCCCATGTGGCGGCCAGACTTAACAGCTTCCTCGTCGGTTTTGGGTCTTTGCCGCAGCTGGAGGCAGAAGCCCCTCGCCTCGGACTGGACGAGCAAAGCCTTGAGTACGTCAGGAGGTTCTTCATCAAGTATCAAGGCAGAGGAATTACTTGCTGAATACTTATATTTTAGTATTGGCACAGGGTTTATTTTTAGTGATTGTTTATCGAGTATCAATGCCGTGGAATTAATCATTTTGATAAGTTTGTCTTACTATTTATGTATTATTTTCACAATTTACTGCTTTGTTTGTAGGTATTCTTATCGTCAACTTGGTTCAGAAACAATGTACAGGGGACAATAACAAATCCCTCAATTAGCTATTGTTTTCTTGTTAATGTGCTGAGATCAAAAACTTGTTATACCTGTATCATGTATAGGAGGGTAATCATAGTTGATTTTTTAAATGGTGTGTCCGTTGGAATTAATAAAATTACTATATAGGTTAATAAAAAATTAATAGCGAGTCACCTTTGACAACAAGTGCATTTTCATAATTCCTCTAATTTTTTATTACCCCTAATCCAAAGGGCAAACAAAAAGTCTGGGATACAAACCTCGATAAGAAGTCAACCTTAGTAACAAATCTTATTTGATGATTCCCATGAGACTTGTTACCAAGGCTCTACCATATTATAAATTGAATTTGTTCTTGCTACGTGTAGGCTTTTCGTTTTAAAGATTGCACTGTTGATTTATAATGTTTATTATATTATAAAGATGGGTCATTGGTAAGTGACTTTTCAAACTAATACATGGATCTAGCCAACTGAAGAACCTTCTACCAGAGTTGTTTTTGTTGATATTTTGATCTGTAATCTCTTTACAAGCAATTTTACACTTTTACAGTCTAAGTGTAAGCGGTTTTAATGAAAGATGTTAAAATATTTGTTCTGAAATGTAAAATATAGTCCTGCATTAGAATAATTAAATAAAGTTACCGATCATTCCCTCGCCTTATTTCTTGATTTTTAACCTCCTATTTGTTTCAGAGACCTTTACAATATACAGATTTTACAAAATTAAAAGTTAAGTGCAAAGTCTTCAAAAGTTACTTAAGTTGTTCTTAATTTTAAATTCTAGTAGTGATTTTAACAACGTACAAGACAATATTAAGAAAGTTAACCAGGCCTAAAGCGTATTCGTACAGTAAATTAGATTGATGTATCAGATATTTTTTTAACCTACTATAAAAAGAAAAAAAAGCCTGTTCTGTGTTGTGTTAGCCTGTTCTATTATTGGTAAAAAATTCAGGAACAACAAAAGCACAGTATAAAAGATATTTTATTGATTCACAATCAATAGATAAAAAATTCAGATACAAGAATATCCTAAGATGTAGTCCACTTCTGCACAAGAAAACTTGTGAACAAAATGTACAAAGATGAACATAGTACGTACATCTTCAGCATTGTATATAACATCATTAGATTACAAAATATAATACCTCGATAATCTGTAAAGCTAGTATTGTACAATTATTGATTTCATTGCATTGGCACGGTCCTGTTGTAATTATAAAGGAAGGGAAGAGTATCAAACTGTACATTAACGAAATAACTTATGAACTCCAAATAAGTTTAGTTCTTCCATTGACTTTTAGATACAACAATAGATATCGTATCAATATCAATTAATACTGGATAGGTTGTAGAAATTTTTTTTTTTTTTTGTTAAAATAGAACACAGTTGAATGTACCACTCACTGGATGCTGTAAAATTTAGTGAGTCGGTAGCACAACGGACTTTGAATCTATGGCAGCATGTTGTGGGTTCGGATCCTGTTATCTGGACTAAATTTTATTAGTACAGATCACCTTTGTACTGTACTGGCTCACCCCTTGCTTTTTTAGATTCCTTCTTTACTAGATGGACACTGGACAGGCCAACACAAAGTTTAAATAGACCACCAACCTCGTTTAATTTAAGAAGAGGGAAAATTAGATTTTCTCCTTATTTTTTTCGGTACCTAGTGTGATGTTTGATAAGTTAATGTACTATAGCATTATATTAAGTTTTTATTTCAATTACTGTAGAAAAACAACACACACACATTTTAACATTTTAAGTTGGTTAAAAATTCAGTGTATTGAACAGAAATTATAAATTTACAGCTGCACTCACTGTGGGGGGATCCATTCAACTGTGTTATTTTTTGTGGTATAAATGACGACTAATTTAACATGGAAACGGAATGTCAAGTTTTATCTAAAGGTTCTATTGTCATTAGCCTACACAAGAAAGTAATACATTTTCTAACTAAAACTACTTAAAAGACAGGGGAAGTGGATACAGAAAGTTGCTGGCTGCAAGTACCGTACTTGAAAGATTAAATTTTGTTGACCAAAAATAACAAACGTACTAAATAGGATAACTAACAACAGTAAAAAAAGCATACGACATTAAAACTAAAATAATATCTTAGTCGGTGGAAAATTGCATCTTATACCTAAAACAAATGTACTGTACATCAATTAATAAACTTTTAAAATATATAGGAATAAAAAAATATAAAAAGCAATCTAATCTACAACGAATCAAAATCAAACAATTGACTTCTACATAGCCTAACTATTAAATAAAAGCAACACATCTTCTAAATCCAAACTAGTTTACACATAAAGAAGATCCGTTTGTGGAACATTGAAAATGTGTTGCTGCAATTGCCATGTTGTCAAACACTTATCTTTTTTTGTAATTTTTGTGGAAAACGTTTGTACATGGAATAAACTTAATTTAACAAGTTTAAACAATATCACTTTCAACAAGTAAACTAAAATAAATGACAGTAACTTACTTGCATTCAGAGCATTTTTATTGGGCCCATTTCTTTATGTGCTCACCAATATAAAAAAGCTTAAATATGTAATAAACAAATAGTTAAATCCTCCCTAAGTCATAGCTTTGATTGTACCATTGACTTTTGGATAGTCAAAGATTGTAGATAACATGTAGGCTTAATACATTACCACATTCTCCACAAACAATAAAACAAATTATGGTGCACCTTAATTCAAGAAGATTTTTTCCAATTAAATTAATTCTTAAAGCTCTTGTACATAGACCTTTGATTTCAAAGAAATTATATAAGTTAGGCCTTTGACCAAACATCAATTCGCTGGTTTAACTAACAAGACTTCATATCGTATTGTCCATAATAAGAAGCCTAGAAGTTAAACGTGTAGCCTAAAACATGAGTTTTGGAGTCTAACATCGTGTAATTCATCTCTGCTCAGAAAGATTTGTGGATCTGAACATGCCTTCATTGATAGTCGAATATAAAGCCCATAAATCGGATGGGCCTTGGCAAAGTCTAAGTTGCTCAAAATGAAAACATTCTCACTGCTCAATTTATGCATACCGGTATATTTTTGTAAACTTTATTTTGTAAACATAAGTTAGACAAGCAGATTCTTCATTCGTGCAATTAGGTAGGCCTACAATATCACAAAATACACCTGTATGTTTTAACATAAACACGAACATCAAAAACGCAAAGCTTAAAGGCCTAAATAAATTTTTTGACAAACTTAGCCCAGGTTCTAAGCAAAAAAAATTTAGAACAAAAATATGCAAAGGATACGCGTCCGGTAACCAAGCGTGGATTAGGCGTCCGGCAGTGACGTCGCCAGGTTGTGGGGGCCCAGAACACCATTAACACAACGATACGGTGGAATGCCGTCAGTGTTCGTGGTGTAGTGGATAGAGTACTCGGCTGTTGATCAAGAGGTACTTAGATCGAATCCCATCGGTGTCACTACTTTTTTGTCAAAGATTTTGCTTAGAATGCCATTTCTTCCTAGGTAAGTGTACATGTTTTGTTGGAATTTGAAGCATTTATAATCTTGTTTTATGAACAGAATTTAATTTTCATTTGATTTTTTCATCATCATCAAGATTGGTTAGTTAGGTTAGGTTATGACAATAACTGCCGGACGCCTACTTAATCCACGTCTGGTTAACTTACCAAACGCGTATCCTCTGCCTAAAAATAATTTAACCAAAAAAGAATTGGAAAAATACCGGTAGGCCTATGTAAAATGGGTTGCATAGAGGTAATTTTACTAGAGGTAAAAAAAGTAACTGCTCTTCTAAATAAAAGATGGAACTTAAATTACTCCAAGCTTACATCACTATCATCGTCATTCGCTTTCGGGCCAGAGATAATATTTGGAACACATGACCTGTCTACTATCATACCATGCTCAATCAGAAAGTTTTCAACATCACCGACGTAAAACTCATCACCCAGTTCGTCAGTGACCCTCACAAAATTTCCAACCACTTGGCCACCTTTGTAAACTAGCAATGCTGGTACGCCATCTGACTTGAAATGGTTGCTCATTCCAGCTGCTGTGCTCATCAGCTTACAAAACTTCACTTGAACATATTCTTGACAAAGTTCAGAAAGGCATGAATTCATTGTTTTACATCCAGGCACCTTATCTTCATAAATGTGAACAATTACTGTAACATTTTTATCTTCATCATCAACAGCAGCTAGAAACTGCTCTCCATTGAGCAGCTCATGTACCACCCCAAATCTGGGGAGTAGAGACGATTTTGAAAGCATTTCATGCATTCGTTGTTTCCTGAACTGCTCAAGGAATTCATCAGACATTAATTCACCAAAATCATTATCCAAGTTGTTCTTATCTTTCTCATCATCCAGTGTAGATCGGCAGGTTAGGGATAGCTTCTTCATGAGAGATAGTCTTTCAGCATCTTGCTCCTTACGTTTTTCTGATTCCAGTTGTTTGAACCTTTGCCAATCTTTTAAAACGCCTTTAGGACCTGTGTTTGTAGAGACCCCATCCCATTTAGATGGTTCACATGCACTAGTTGCAACGGAATTCCTACCTTTATTAGGAAGAGCTGTGGCACCTGAGTCTTCTCCACTGTTTTCTTCATTACCCGAGTCCTCCCCTTCACTACTGCTACAATAGTTGTGGAGTTTATTCCCAAGAATCTTGTCTTCTAACGTAGACATAGCTACTTGTTGTTCACACAATGGTAACGCACGAAACTATATAAAATTAGAGTTGCTCCATAAACATAGCTTAACCACTTAACAATAACAAGTAACAACAAAACAAATTTTATTTAATAAACGCCAACTTAACTCCTCTTCCTCTTCTGCTTCTCCTTCTTATTTATCCCTATGTTTCTGATGGTCAGCTGACAAGAACAAAAGAATGACTTTGGCTTGGCACAATATCTACCAGTGTTGCCAACACACATTTAAAAATTAAATAGAACATTCATAAAAAATATGTAGGCATTGTTTTGTAGGTACGTAAAACTTGTTCCACTCCTACTAATAACTCCTATTAATAACATGTAAACCAAATCAGTATTTTATCATTCAAAACTTATCAACATAACTTTTAAGTAATATAGCCTATATCTTAAGCAATAATATAATTTCCAGTTTTCATATTTGAATTTGAATCTGCTATCAAAATGCGTATTTGACTAGACTGAACTGAATGCGAGTCCGAGTGAGCTGTTGATTTGGATTGTGGTGTGTTGGTGATAGCTGTCATTCGTCATTGTCATATTGAAGAAAAGAAAATGCAGGGCGACGAAAAGGAAGAAAGGAAACCTTTGCTTCAAAGCGAAAACAATAGAGGCGGCAATTACGGAAATGGTGAAGACTACATTCCAGGTATTTTTCAATATTAATTGATACAGGGTTTGCCTCTTTCCTAAATATCTGTGACCCGTTGGTACTTAGTAGGCCTTGATGTTGCACCGCTAACATCCCTTTACTTTATCACAAAATGAGCTGTCACAACACGAAAATCTTGGTTCTGTTTCTAAAAAATTACCGTATTAGTTATTTTGATATTGCCACTTGTTTAAGTGTGACACCGTTAACCTCCGTTTAAAATTAAAAACACATTGTAAATCAGTTAAAGCACCATTCTGATTATGTAACTAAGTTAAAATATTATGCAGTTTTTTTTATATTGCTTTGTGTATGCTAATACCATTGACTATACCTATTACTACCTACATGTAACTTAAGCAGTTGCACGCAATATCTAGCTTTAAATAAAAATGGTATCTTTTAATTTGTTGGGGCTAATCCAACCAACTAGGCTATAACTTAAATTTTTTTAAGCCTAGGCTAGGTAGGCTAATTAAGTTAAAATGTATTTTTGATAACGAATCACTGAAACATTCAAAATTAGCTTAAGTTATCTTCGGACCAAGGCTAGTTCTAGCCTAGATCAAGCCGTTTATACTAAAAAGCTTACTCTTTTGGCAAATCAACAAGTTATCCAACATTTAAGTCATGCTACTTAAGCCTCTACAAATAAATTAAGCTTTAAGTTAGTGTAATTCTTATGTACTTCTCGTGAGTAAATTGGTGTAGGCCAATCAGTTGGGAAAAATAAATGAACTGTTGATATGGACGTTTAGGCCTAATCGCATAAATACTACCGGTAGGCCTATATAAGTTAAACTTAGCTAGCCTAGTAACTTAATTATATGACTGGGATGGTGGCGTCGTCCTGTAATCAGCTAACTTACTAGGAGGTCACGAATTGTAAATATTTATAGGCATGCACTGTAGATGCGATACTCCCTGGTGTGAATTAACGTCCGCTCTAGTGAGTCCTACGACTATCCGAAAGACTATCCTGGAAATTAGACCAATTAGTTAATTACAAGGAAAATGTGGTCTGTATTGCACTATAAACTGTAGGTCCCTTAATTGCCATTGGTTGTAGGCCTATGGGCTACAGCTGTGTCTAAGGTACATGTCGGCCTTAGTCACTAACAAGACTTTAAGATCAAGCCACTCATCCTTCACTCATATTTGGGTTTAAATACGCACATACTTTAGTGGCGTCCCCATCTTAAATAATTGATAATTGATAACAGACGTCACATTGAAATAGTATTTTTTTTTCAGTTAGCCTACTAAATTAAAAAATTAAAGTTAGGTACTCATGTTTTCCCCGGAAAATTCAAATAGGCTTAACAGGGAAACTAAGATAAACTATATATATATAGGCCTAGGCTACATTTTTCTAATATCATAGGTATCATATACTAATTTGAAATAACAACTTTGCCAATATTTCTGAATGTTTAATTTTTATGAGGCCTTTCGCCAGCTATGCTGGCATCATCAGACACATCACAAAACTTTTATTGTGTTAATCGAACAATAAAGCCCTGAGGTTACAGAACCTGTGCGGGAAACAAACATTTTTGGTAATTGGAGCAACTCGTGGTTGGAAAGTCCAGCCCGTAAGCCATAGCTGCACCATAAGTTATATTAATATTGTTTACTTACATTAGAGCCAATTACGTCATTTTGTTTTCCTTTACGATCCTTACTCCTTCTGTTTTAATATCTTCAAACGCATATAAAATCACAAATTGAGCACTGATTTTATTTACACATGTGTGGAAGGAAGGTCAGACTTTATGTGGGTTAGTGGCTGCCTTCAATGTTTTGAAGTTACATGCAGACTGTTTTGTGCTATTGAAATAGGTGGGTTAAACAACAACAAATTTCAAAAATGCTGAAAAAGTAATTAGCCTAATTTTAGTAATTGTAGCTTCATTATTGAGATAAATAGCTTATTTTCTCTTACATTTTGTTTAGGCTAGTTAATTATTTTCTTGTTTGGTAAGTTACCATGTACCGGTAGTTTTAAAAATTGTTATTCTATATTTCATTAAATTGTTCATGACCTTAGTCTAGATACAAAACTACATTATTTTGCTCCCATGTGCGACAAGCCAAACAATTAGGTACTGATATTATCAGCTGTGGTGACTTGTTTACTCAGCTGTTATCGTCGTCTGGAGCGTCTATTAGTCATTATGCAATTTATTGTAGTTGTTGATTATCATTGGTTATCAAACCTTGAAAGCAAAGGTTTGGATTCAATTGTTCTTTATAAAACAAGTGCTTACCAATTTTTTATCCATTTGCATTAAAGTAAAAAAAAATCATGTTACTTTATGTTGAGGGCTTATTTGTCTTTTTTTTGTGGCCTCAAGTGCCGATCTCTAGCGATACACCACAAGCCGATAGCCTCGAAAAGACAGACCCCAATGGTCACGTGAACACTCGTGATTGCCACATGCGCACTACAGGCTAGTTGAGAACTGTGCTTTGCACGAGTGCATTTGGATCCAAGTCAGCTACAGAGTCTTCACAAACATTCTCTCTAGAATAAGCATGGTTTACAAAATGCAATTAAAAATTGGGAAGGGGTCAGGCAATTCCCTTTTAACTTATTTAATTATGATAAGTTTTCACCAAGACAGTGGACTGTGTGCTGGTCACATTTGACTTACTTGACTTATTTCCTGTCGCTCCTTAGTGGGAGCATAGAGCATCGAGAAGAGCTCGCCATCCATCCCTGTCTTGCGCCATATCCCTCAGTTGACCCCAGGTCTTCCCGACACTCGAGGCTTCCTTCATTATTGTTCTCCTCCAGGTGTCACAGGGTCTTCCTCTCTTTCTTGTCCCTTGGGGATTCCATTCCAGGGCCTTCTTTTCAATTGCACCATCCGTCTTCCGCAGAGTGTGACCCAGCCACCTCCACTTCCGTCTTCTGATTTCTAGGCTGATCTTTTGTTGCTAAGTTGCCTCCCAAAGCTGTTCATTTGATATAGTGTTTGGCCAGAACACTCTCATTATACGTCTGAGACACCTGTTAACAAACACCTGGAGCTGAGAAGTACTTCGCTGATCCATTTTCCAAGTTTCACTGGCATATAGAAGGACAGACTTGACGTTTGTGTTGAAGATGCGGATTTTGGTTTTCATTGAAATATTTCTATTTCGCCATATTGGGTAAAGCTGAATAAATGCTGCATTAGCTTTCCCAATGCGGCTCCTAACATCTTCCTTTGCTCCTCCGTCTGCTGTGACTTTACTTCCGAGGTATTGGAAAGAGTCGACCTCTTCAATCACTTTCCCATTTAGTTCTAAGGCTTGGGCTACTCTGGAATTCAACCTCATTTCCTTTGTCTTATTTATATTTATCTTAAGACCCACCTCTTCAGCCTCCCTTTGTAGAGAACTTATTAGGGAGAACTTACTTAGCTGGTCACATTTAATTATGATTAATTCCCTATCCCTCCCCATCGTATTACCCATATTTATCATCAGAGTATGCTGTTCACGTAAAATCCTCATAGATTTATAAAGTTGGCTGTAATGATAAAACCTAAATTTATCATTCAGTGCACTTTGACTACAAAATTATAAGGGCAAATACAAATAAAAATCTCAAAAAACTGATTTCTGAAATGTTACACATTGATCTAATTGAACAGTTCTACTGTCATTAAGTATAAATAGGGTTTCCACTATTTGTTGATTAAGTGGTCATTCTAAAATAATATTCTTTATATTATTTGAACTGAGCTATCTTAGATCTTGAGTACAGTAATACTCAATACCAAGGTTATTAGGCCTGTAGCGTGAGTCACCAATTTGTTTAATATTTATTTTCATGTGTTATCTTATCTGGATTTTTATAGGTTTTATAGTTCAACTTTTATCTTCAATGCCGTTGTGCTATTTTAGTATCTTTTCAGTTTTTTAAATGTTTATTTCTAATCAGTTTAACATGATGTGGTTTTTGTCAATCTTGTGCATCAGTTGAAGACTTTAAGCCCTATTTTCATCATTTGAATGGTTTTTTTTTTAAGGAAACAAAAATATTGTTTTAACTTAAAAGGACAAGGCCTTACTATTGAAATGAGGACTATTGCTTGTTGCCTGATGTTGTAACCAAATAATGAAGACTAGGACAACTAATAAAAGCAACACAGTAAATCGTACACACAGATAAGAGCAAAACCTTATTCATCATCACTCTAAGCGTTTCCGGACACTAAATACTTAATACTTTTTTTATACTTTTCAATGAAATGGCAACCATATGAAGTACTGTAGGTATTTTAAGCCAAGTGGAGATGATTGTAGGACGAGTGGCGCGACCTTGTAGTCTTGTTATTGACTAAGGCCGACATATTCCTTAGACACAGCTGTTAATTAATAGCCCATACAGCTAATGGCAACTGAGGGACCTACAGTTTATAGTGGAATCCGAACCACATTTTTGCCTTTGGTATGGCTATACAAATTGGTCTAATTATCAGGATAGTACTGCGGATACTTGTAGTACTCACCCGTGCGGACGTTAATCCACACCAGGGAGTATCACATCCACAGTGATAATATCCACAATTCGTTACCTCCTAGTAGCTGGATTACAGGACGACGCTACCCGTCCCAGTCAAATATACAAGGAGACTTGGAAACCTACTCCGTCAAAAATGCCTAAACGTAGTTTACACTTGCTACCATGTCAGGTCATATCATGATCATAACTAATTATATTGATAAGCTTATATCAATAAATTATGTAGTTTGGTAAAAGAAAAACCAATCTCCCACCCCTCCATGGATTATGAAATTTTTTTATTTGTTGCATAAGTCTGTGCTTATTTTTATAAGGATTAAATCAGTTTAGGTTGGGAATGAACAGTCTGAAAGTACCGGTAGTGAAATGAAATATTGTGTTGATTTTTGTATTTAGTGACTTTTGTGCTAAACTTTGACTTTAGACCTTAACCTTGCGTTTTACCAAACTGTATGCGTGCCTTAACCCAATATTTTATTTCCTACAGTACCTTCAGTTTTTATAATCCCCTCACATGAGTGTTTTGCTTGTTTGCTAGACTACCTAGTGTTTTGCATGTGATGCTGTAGCAAGGTTTTGTTCCAGGTGGAGCCACTACAGTGTCCCCCGTGGGTCCAGATGAGCTGCCCCCTCCATACCAAGCGGCACTGCAGGGCGGGGGCCCCATGGTCACATGTCGCGTGTGTCAAGCCATGATTGATGTCAGCGGCAAGAAGGACCAACATGTTGTCAAGTGCAACACATGCAATGAAGCCACAGTGAGTATTATTAGTCCTTGCAGTAGTCCCTAGATAATTTTGCTTGTTAACCGGATTCAGAAGTCCAGGCCATCGAGATGCCAGTTAAGAATTAGAGTGACCATTAGTAAATTTGAGACGGATAAAATTCCTGCAAAAAACTCAGAGTCTAGATGCGCTGACTTTGACATTGTTTTGTTGTGAGCAGGTGGTGTGTGCTTGTATGTGAGTTTCGTGTTTTGTTCCCAGATTTGTTGCCTCTACTGGAGTAATAGTGTAGTCCGGTGCTGTGCTTTAATTCATACTGAACACAATAAATTAGAATTGTTATAATTGTATTAAAATCAATCTTAATATCAAATTATATGTTGTAAACTAATAGCCTACCATAAGGCTGTGATTCTTCATTTAAGGGAAAAGATTGAGTCTAAATCTACTCTAATCAGCTGTAACATTGTTCTTGCCTACAGCCAATAAGGAACGCCCCGCCAGGCAAGAAGTACGTGCGCTGCCCTTGCAACTGCCTGTTGATCTGCAAGTCGTCGTCGCAGCGTATCGCTTGTCCTCGGCCCAACTGCAAGCGCATCATCAACCTGGCTCCGAGCCCGGTCACGCCTCCTGTACCCAACCAGCCGGGGCTGTGTCGCGTCAGCTGTGTACACTGTCACGATACCTTCCTGGTAATGTACCACCAGTACTCGATGGTATGACCTATCTATCCATATAAATATATATTCACATTTAAGTTTGCGTCTAGGCCGGTAAGAATCAAGAAACTGTATTGCCGTAGATCTATACGACACAACATAGGCAAATTTAAAACTTTAAATAAATTAATAGATTCTAACAATTACAATTAATTACAACATAATTTATCCCTCTCTTGTAATTTTATCTCTCTTGTTGTGGCTATGGAATGTTTTTCTAAAATTTAAATCTGTAGTATGTAATTTAGTTCTAAGTCAAGTCTAAAATAGTTCTGATTTTTTTACATTAGCTAACCTATATAATTTTTGTAGGTCATATGGACTGGAAAAAGACCAAAATTATATGTTGGTTACTCCACTTTTCCAATTTAAAGTTAAGAAATCTCAGCCGCTTCATTTGTTTGTCCATTCTAAATCCAAAACTGAACCCTTGCTGTTTTATTTGTTTTTAAGGAAAACTAAAAAAAACCTACGTGTTTTCTTTTATAAGTTAAGAACTAAGTGGTGAAGAAATAAGTACCTGATAATCTCCATGTTTATAATCTTACTTGAACATTTCAACATTTGTGTATTGTTCTAGAATGTACTCTTTACTATCCAGATAATCCTGTTATCTACAAAAAAATCCCCAAACCTCTATCCTTGTGCCCAAGCTTAGATCATTGAACTTATATTTCTCAATTCCATTAAAATTAGAAGCTGTTTACTAAATAATAATTTTTTTTACAGTTCAACACACTGACCAATGCTCTAGCCAGATGCCCGCACTGCAGAAAAGTGTAAGTTTACAGTTTTTTTTTAAATTTTGTAAAGAATAACAAAAAGGTTATAACTATTATTTTGAGTGTAATATATTTACAAATTTGATTTGTAGTTTAATGGAGTTGTCATGCATGTGGCTGTTCAAGAAGTTCCTTAACACGTTAGCTGCCACGTCACCCCGATCGGGGTGCCACCAGTTGGCTCGTATGTGAGCACTGTCACCCCGATCGGGGCGACAGTTGTAATTTGTAAGGGTTTTTTCTTTGCCGCTATTTGACAGTCTTTGATGTTCAACGGCAGTCAAACATTGTTGCTTATAAATACATACTCCAAGCCAACTAGATATCAATGTTATATTGCATTCTGATGTTTATAACATGTCCAAACTTACGTCACAAAGAACTGAAATGTTGTCACCCCGATCGGGGTGACGCTATTTTTTTCAACAATTTTATCTACTCTTTATTGAAATATATACCATAAAATGACGTAACTTTTATCTTATTCAGTTGGTGTTTTATTTTATACGGGTTTTTTGTATCTTATGACTGAAATTATGTCCTTAACCAAAACATAAAAGTAAGTATTTGGGTTATACTGATGAAAAACATATAGGCTAAGAAAGAAAACAAACATATTTTTTAAATCTTTTATGTCAAACTGTAAACAATATTACATTGCTAAAAAAAACTAAATATATGTATAATAATGAATAAAAACATGACCATTGTTGCTGTGCTCGCTCTCTGACATTGACAGGAGGGTAGGTTGAAAGTCAGGGTCGATGTCCATTTCGTCGTCCCTGTCTGACTCATCACTGTCTTTAGCACTACCTCCCAAAAACCATCACTCAGAACTCCAAAATCTAGTTCACTTGACATTGGTAAACCCAAAAAACGTTTGATATCTTCATCACCAAGATTGTCACTCATATTGGACAAAAGCCACAATACACTATGAAAACCAACACGAAAACTAGGCTATATATAGCTAAAAAGTACAACACAAGAAGAAGTAAACATAACACAGTCGAGTAATAAGCAGGTGTTGTTGTCTTCACACGCCAAAATGCCGCTACTGCCAACCGAACAAAATGAAATACATCCCAAATGGTCGAATTTCAGTGTCACCCCGATCGGGGTGACAGCGATTTTTTCCAGCAAAGTTTGACTGAAAACAATCACTGTCACCCCGATCGGGGTGACACTTTTTCCGCCATTTTCTTTTAGTAGTACGGCGGATTAGCTAACCTATTGTGCACTTTATGATAAAAGCACCAAATTTGGCACAGAGGTAAACCGATGTAATATGAACAAATTTAGATGTGGAGCCATCGGCCAACTGCCCCCTAGCGGCCGTGGCGGCCATTTTTCAAAATGGCCGATACTGTATAGACAAAATACAATAGAAGTAAGATAAAATTGTCAAAAAAACGTCCGATTTTGATGAAATTTGGCACAAACGTGTAGGATAGCATCAGTGAGCTTGAACTAAAAAATCAGAATGATCAGACCATTGGATGCGATAGCACCACAAGTTTTATGGGAGTTGACATTTATCAAAAATCGGGTTTTTGCATTTTTTACAATAAAATCTTTGAAAGATGAAATTAGGACTTATTCCATGTTAAAGAGCTTAAAAAACAAACAATTTAGTTTTTTGGATCATCAGCGTAGGTTAGATGGTTGTGGAGAAAATGTAAAAAAAATTACCTTAAAATTCCTCATGCTATTCTTATGGATACGTTGTCCTATGTTATTCTTATGGAGAATATATAAAATTACATAAAATTAAGCTTATTTATGAATATATTTCGATGAAACTTGGTATTTGGCTTTATGTGGTTATAGTAAATAGATGTTTGTTTAAAATACCCCAGTTGCACCAAACCTGCATACTCAGCACAATGTGAAACCTGGCAATATATCAGCTACAATCGTAAAATGAATATAAATCACTTTCTTGATAAAAATCGGTTAGACATTCACTGAGTACGTAGGTGTTCTGTTACAGGGGTACTTTTCGACGTTTTTGCTTTTTGTTCCTGACTTTTGTATCTGTTATAAAAACGTCGTATCCGAGAAGTCAACGGTTTCCTTGGTCACAAGATGAGGGTTAAAATAAATGGACGGTGGCAGGACCAGAGGTTGCAAGGCTCATTGAAGAGTTTAAGTAATCTAACCAAGACCAGTCACAAAACACAAAGCATCACAACCAGTCCTCAAGTGTACAGACATCTTTCCAAAAAGACGTCCAGTCCATGATAAAAGTGAAAGACTTTGGGAATCCATTTAAAGAAAATAGTCAAGATCTGTTGGTACTCAACACCAAGGAAATCACACTACCTCAAGCTGTAGCTGACATGAACCTCTTCTCTCGTCTGTACATCGGATGCCAGAACCGAGATGGGAATCTAGACGAATTCTTCAGACATGAAAACCAAGCTTTCCCTCCTGCACTATCGGATAGGGTTAGCATCCGGTTTGGTGTGAAGAGTGATCCTCTCGCATGTCTAGAAGACTTCAGTCCGCCTAGGTCTGAGATTCCTTTATCAAACTGCATTGTCCTAGACGGAGCAGTCATAATCCAACTGCTGAAGCCTGCTACGGCAAAGACCTTCAATGATTATGCCCAATAAGTATTAGTGCCTCACATACTCTCAAAGCTTCATCGCGCCAAACGAGGGCAGCCCTAGAGCAGCACGTTCGAAGAGCAGTAAACCAAGGCGGACATGTCTGGGGTCAGGCCCTGGAACCTGCGCAAACACCGCCATCACCAATTGTTTTTCTTCAAAAACATTTTCCGACACCCCTTGTTGATATCGTTGTCCGTGCCTGTTCTGTCATATAGTGGTATGACAAACCTTTCAATGGAGTGCATGGCGTCTTCAGTTACACGTTCTGGTGCAGTTGAGAGCAACGTGAGCGTCTGGAAGCTCAGGTAGCACTTCCACACTGCCCATGCTGTCCTCCTTCCACGTCCGGCGAAGCAAGAGACCGTTTCATAGCCCGTCAACGCATGGAACATCGGTAGAGCATCTGCCTTGTCAGGACCCAGAGCCCAAGCAGTCTCATGGGCCGCAAAGAAGCGGAAAGTCTTAACCCAGCCGAAGGACACCCACACATCAACTTCCGTATTCAAGGTACTTGCCAGCGCCACTGCCAGGACAACAACATCGGTGGCAACTGTGCAGATGAGCATCGTCTTGTGGTCATTGTGAGCAGCGTGAGCGGCATGCAACACAATGCGGGTGTCGGCCTCCTCGTAGTTGCAAGGAGCCAGTGATGAAGTATCCACAAGCGATGACTTTCTCAAGACATCATCTCCTTTAGTGATGAACAGCTCCTTGTGTGCAAGATGTAATGAGTCGTAGAGGACGTCAGAGAGGAAAGCGAACTGTTCTGTCTTGTTTTCTTCAACTCTGAGGAAGCTGGCCCAGTTGTTGGGTTTAGTTGAACCACCCACCACTCGTCTACCCCATTTCCCCGCCTGGCTCTTGCTGTACATTTCAACAAGTTGTTAATGTAGCTGTCCCACACTAGATCCAGTCGCGTGGTGTGATGAAGCTTTGAGAGTATGTGAGGCACAAATACTTATTGGGCATAATCGTTGAAGGTCTTTGCCGTAGCAGGCTTCAGCAGTTGGATTATGACTTCTCTGTCTAGGACAATGCAGCTTGATGAAGGAATCTCAGACCTAGGCGGACTGAAGTCTTCTAGACATGCAAGAAGATCACTCTTCACACCAAACCGGATGCTAACCCTATCCGATAGTGCAGGAGGGAAATCTTGGTTTTCATGTCTGAAGAATTCGTCTAGATTCCCATCCCGGTTCTGGCATCCAATGTACAGACGAGAGAAGATTGCGATGCTTTGTGTTTTGTGACTGGTCTTGGTTAGATTACTTAAACTCTTCAATGAGCCTTGCAACCTCTGGTCCTGCCACCGTCCATTTATTTTAACCCTCATCTTGTGACCAAGGAAACCGTTGACTTCTCGGATACGACGTTTTTATAACATATACAAAAGTCAGGAACAAAAAGCAAAAACGTCGAAAAGTACCCCTGTAACTGAACACCTACGTACTCAGTGAATGTCTAACCGATTTTTATCAAGAAAGTGATAAAATCACTAACTTAAAATATATTCATTTTACTACTGTAGCTAATATATTGCTAGGTTTCACATTGTGCTGAGTATGCAGGTTTGCTGCAACTGGGGTATTTTAAACAAATATCTATTTACTATAACCACATAAAGCCAAATACCAAGTTTCATCAAAATATATTCATAAATAAGCTTCATATGTAATTTTATATATTCTCCATAAGAATAACATAGGACAACGTATCCATAAGAATAGCATGAGGAATTTTAAGGTAATTTTTTTACATTTTCTCCACAACCATCTAACCTACGCTGATGATCCAAAAAAACTAAATTGTTTGTTTTTTAAGCTCTTTAACATGGAATAAGTCCTAATTTCATCATTCAAAGATTTTATTGTAAAAAATGCAAAAACCTGATTTTTGAAAAATGTCAACTCCCATAAAACTTGTGGTGCTATCGCATCCAATGGTTCAATCATTCTGATTTTTTAGTTCAAGCTCACTGATGCTATCCTACACGTTTGTGCCAAATTTCATCAAAATCGGACGTTTTTTTGACAATTTTATCTTACTTCTATTGTATTTTGTCTTTACAGTAGCGGCCATTTTGAAAAATGGCCGCCACGGCCGCTAGGGGGCAGTTGGCCGATGGCTCCACATCTAAATTTGATCATATTACATCGGTTTACATCTGTGCCAAATTTGGTGCTTTTATCATAAAGTGCACAATAGTTTATAATATCCTAGCTAAACCGCCGTACTATAGGTATTTGGACAGATAACATTATAACTAACCTAGATAAGTATAAATAACATCATATAACTAAAATATTACGTGAGCATATAGTTGGCAATGCAACAATCCCCCCCGAAAATAGCCTTGGCAGCTAACGTGTTAATTTATTTTTTAGGATTAGAGTTCAGTTTTCATGTTAAACAAAAATTAAGTATTCGGGGGATTACAAATAAAAACTTGTGAAATTACAAATCTAGGTGATCTTGTAGGTCTTTCCAGTGCTGTAAAAAATGAGGTGCCAGAACTGTAACCTATTTAATGTGATAAGTAACTATTTATGCCAATATTATTGAGGTTTCGGAATGTTGTTCCACCGCGTTCCTCTGCAAATCGAGCACTGGTTCTTACCCTCGTAAGAAGTCATGTACTACAAGAAAAAGTAGTTGTAAATCAAGAATTGCTTCACAATAAAGGAATTCTTATCTATTTATTTTCACTTCTTAAGTATTTTTTATGTTGTGTGAATTTTTAGCTAACTGCGCTTTATCATTTTCCAAACATGCATTTTAATCCAATTCATTAACTGTCATAGAATAAAATATGTTTATAGTCCTCGCCACCCTAAGTTGAGGCAGCCCAAGGCCGCACGGCGTATATCTAGTGCGGTCTTTGGCTGCCTCAACTTAGGGTGGCGAGGACTATAATGTACGTTTACATGATACATGATACATTCATCAGATTTTTAAGACATTATGACGTAACGGAGTTTGATATCATCACAAAGCGTTGGTGACAACAATTTGAAACAGTTAATAATTTACTTAAACATTTTTTTCAGTTTTTACTTTTTTGAGAATCATTCATTTTCTTTGTTATAGGTCATCAGTGGGTCCAGACTTTGCTCGTGGAAGAGCAACCTTTTTTATTGTTTGCGGATTGGTGTTTCTGTTGATTGGAATTGGCGTCACTGCTGGCACCTACACATACGCCAAGAAAAACGGTGGAGTCTATGTGGCATATATAGGTATGTTATGTTGTCAAGTTTGTTCTCAATATCTACTTAGCTGACAGTAATCTGTCGCATGATAGTCCGATAATTATAGTAATGATACTCAATATAAGTCATTGTCCGATAGTACACAGTTTGTGTATAGTCAGTACAATGATTTTGTTGTGTTCCAACATCACAGTGGAAACAACGTGTGTGATTGTTAACTTCAAAGTGCAGGATTTAGCTGTTTACAGCCCGTGTCGTCTCTCCTGTTGTTAGAACGTTCCATAATCTTGTGCAGTAAGCAATATTACATTACTTATTTACTTACTTACTGCTATGACCACTTGTACCCAAGCTGTTACTTGGTCTCGCCAACTCGTCGCCAGTTCTCTCGGTCCTCCGAATCTTCCTCTACTAGTGTCATCTTTTCCATATCTTTCCGGACTTGATTCCACCACCTAGCCTTTGGTCTACTGGTCTCCTTCCCCTCGGATCTCCCCTTAGTACCTTCTTCAACAAGCTCTCCTCATTTTCTCCTCAAGAGATGGCCAACCCACCTTAGCATTCTGCTTTTGGCCTCTCTTACAATATCGTGGTCTCGGAATGATAAATATTAAATTTTCTGTTTAATTTATGATGTTTACTTGATTACATTACTCAACAGGAATTTCCAATGTTTGCTTGGATTAATTTACATCTACTTAATGTTACTGAAGTGGAACCTGTAAACGGACTAGCTAATGAAAAAAAAACATTGTTGAACAAACTATTCTAAGAGTTTGTTACAGTCTGCAATTCAATTTTCTCCCTATTTTTGTTACTTTGAAAATTTTAATATGAGTTTAAAGGGGCTGTTGTTTACCATTAGTTCCCCTTTCAGTGTGGCTTAGTTGAATAGTTGGCTTATTCGGCAGAAATTGGTAATTTACATCAGTGCACTTTTTTGATGGCTCAATTCAACCTTGTTAATAGTTTTTCCCAAATTTGTATAAAGTCATAACAACGGAATGAAAACATGTACTTAAAACAAACTGGTCTGTTTCAGGAGCCTTTATTCTGGCGTTGATCAGTTTTCTCCGAAGCTTCTACTACTGCTTCATGAAAGTCAGCGTGATCGATGGCCCAATGTAATCATTCCAATCTCTTATATATCCTAGTAAGATTATCAACTCCCTGACACAACGTACTATAGCCTATCTTCATTAATTTACCGACAAGATACAGGACACGTTGTTATTTGCATGGTAAATTCAGTTTTACAGCTTTAATAAACTGATAGTTTTACTGAAGTAATATATAAATACTAGGTGTAATGAAGGAGACGATCCATATATTTTTTTCTAAGTAAACCCAGTCAAATACAGTTTGCTCTCGGCAAACATTTTATCATTGACTGTGCCTCTGCCTAAATTGTACGTTTGTCAGATTCGTATGTGTGGCATTCCATGAAACCAAGGAATGGATCAAGAAATATCTGTATAAAAACATTGCTTTCGAATATATTTGGTTCATGAATTGTTTTGTAAATACAAATTACGAAATGGATTTGAGTTTTTTTCACATCATTAAAGTACCAATAAATTGACTTGTCGGAAAACTAACATTAGTTATAGACTGGCTGCAAAGCATTTTAGGTAGTTTTGTTAAGTTGTATACTCCTAGTCTGATATTCTAATCTGAAAAATTAAGTTTACTCGAACATGAACATCAGTAGAACCCCGCTAATCCGACTGTTTGCATAATTTGTCTGTGCCATCAGTGGCAATGTTATTGCGATGATATCGTTACCATTTCCCATTGGTTCTGTAGACATTATCACCGTGCACCGTCTCCCTCAATTGCGGATAAAATATTGTTTATCCCCTGCGGTCACAGACGCATCATCAGCTTCATCCACAATCATGGAAACGTAACACCATCCACCGTGATTGCGGCCAAATCTAGGACATGTCTTGTGATAACGAAAACATTATCATCATCTACCACGATCGTAGCAAAATATTTAACGCCTCCCTCTGGCAGGGGAACATTATCATCGTCTTCCCCAATCGCGGAAAACCCCTGAGACTATTTGGTAGTAGCACAGGAAACATCATAAGCTGCTCCCGCGATCTTGGCAAAATCCTCTACGGACCTGCTCCTTTGTTAATTCGACCTTTTCACTGTTCCGGCCAGTGTCCTGGTCCCGTAGGTTACGGAATAGCAGGGTTGTACTATATTTGATTTCTCTTTCTGTGGTTGTGCTTGATGTCAGTTGTCATTTCAAATTTATTTTTACCAAATATTCCAAAAAGCGCATAAGTTGTTAGAATTTTTTTAGTTTGTGAATACTCATGAAGCAGTGCATATACAGTATGAACTAGGAATTGGAAGAAAGTTAGTATTTTGCATTGCAATTACTGTTTAAAGCTAAACCATGTCTGATTGCATAAAATTTGTTTTTAATTATTTTAGCGGTATAGAGCATTTTTATTAACAGAGTTATTATTATTTATTGTTATCTTTTCTAGCTTAAGTGTATTATTCAATCTATCATATCGATGCAGTGCACGAGCGAATGAGAAAAAATGTATGTCCATATGTGATAAAAAATAAAAGTTTTCTGTATTATTAAAATGTTCTAAATAATTTCCATCCTCTTCTCTTTAGTGAAAATGTTTAAAATTAAAACGAATGAATTAAACCATAGATAAAACATACTCTCTTGTATTGCTTAGTCTATGATTAAACTCTCTAAAAGCTAAAAGAAGTAGGTGAGTTTGACCACCTGTTATTGAAAATATTTGAACACATATTACATGTAAAAAATCCACTCAAAAGTCAGACATTCAAATTAGAGCAGTGGAAATAGTAGTGGGAGTAGGTATGTTAAACCACAGAACTAAATTTATTTTAAAAGAAACAAGTTTTTGTGTATTTTATTATCATCCCCAGTGTCATTTTTTTGTTTTGTTTTAAGACAATGGCCCAACCCCTAGTCTTGTTACTAGCCAACTTACATCTTGTTGTCTTGCTTGTTACTTTTTGTTAGCTATCATCATAAGTTGAGAGTCAAATGAAAACGGCCTTTGGATATAGAAATGATCGAGCTTTTAATTAAACTAAAGACCTTCAGATTTGAAGGCAAGCACCACAAAAACTCTATCCACACTATTGCCTAACATGTAACATTTTTTATTGTATATAATTGTGTTATTTTCAGAGTTTTTACTGATATTATTTTTTTATATGTATAAAGGCACTATTTTTGTAGTGAAACATATGATTGAAGACAATTTGAATGCTTATTAAACCTGCAGTGCTTACTCAATACTATATTTAACACACAGCACTATGAATCATACTTCATCAGTCTGATAAAATGATTAGATGAAGAGATAAAGCTTCGTGTGGAGAAAACCAAGCATTACAGTGTTAACTTGAATCCCACATCTTTGTGGTTTGTCACATGAGTTTATTTGAAGACATGTGGACAATCGTAAGTTCAGTGTTACTTTAAAATTTTACTACTTTGCAATAAACAAAAATGAAACTCGGCTTCAGTTGTGGTTTTTGTAGTACTTCAAATATTAGCAATATCTTCAAATGGAATTCTAAAAGAGTTACTTATTTAAAACTGGCTGGTAAGTGAACTGTTTAAGTTTTTAAAATTTTATTGGTTTTTTACATTTTTTTTAGTTGCTTAGAAAGTTAATAACGATGGGTCAACAGGCTTTAGGATTTCAGGACATTAGTATGTACAATCCAAATACAATGTTTCGAATGCAGTTGAAATGTATTAATTTTTTAATTGTTTATTTATTTGTTTCCTCAATTAGCTATTTTTATAATTATAACTAATTCTAAGAAATTAACAGTATCTATTTGAAACTATACGTTAAGTTAACTAAATTTTAACTATTGTGTAAAATTGATATTTTTTATATTGGTTTATCAATGCATTAAAAAAAAGGCATTTAGTGTAATGAGTTCTTCCAAGTAGAGAAAATATTTCTTACGTGGTACTTTGTATACTTCGTTAATGAACCTACAGATTAGGGTGCCTTCAAATAATTAAATGAATGAATTTATTTCTTGCAGTATAAAACATATTAATATTCATTATAATCCTATAAATCACTTGGCCACTAAATCTATAGTGGACTATCCGTAAAAGATAGAGTCTTTGCGCCTAAAAAGATTCAGATGAACCTGCTGATCTCCCTAAGCGTACAGACTTTGCCAGTTTTATGCTCATATAAGATTGATGAAAATCTGAATTGTATTAAATTATTCTAAATTGTATCAAAGTATGGGGAAAAAACTTTGTTCTTTTCCCTTCAATTTGACGTTCAAATCATTTAATTATCTTAAATAGTCCCCAAGCAACAACGACCGTTTAAAATCCTGGCATTCTTTTATAAACACCCTGTATTTCTTGTTTCCTTGTCTGAAGAGTGAAGAGTATACAAATAATTTAGATAGATTTCCTATGTGGGAGCAGGCCACATAAAATGCTAGAGGTAAAGCCTTCCCCCTCGCTGAAACTTTTTATGTATATACTTCTGTCTTGCCATCACAGGCTATGGACATTTTCAACATCCACTCCTAGAATTGTATTTTATACACCTTCCCTATGTTACAGCACCATTATTGCTACTATTGCTGTACTTGCTAATAAACAGGAGAGTCCCAAACACATTATACAGACATTACGACATCCAGGAGACACAAAATGAATTCTCAATGTCGCCTTCTGGTTTTCTGTTGAATGGAAAACCTATAACATTGACTTGTGGTCTCATGTATTACTTCAGAATTCATCCTGCATACTGGAGAGATAGGCTGAAAAAACTCAGAGCAACTGGTGCAATCGCTGTCAAAATGTAAGTTTGCTTAGTAAAGATAAAATATTAAACATTTAAACTTAATGTGAGATATTTTAATGTACACACTTTCAAGTCAAGTTAAGAAACGAGGTGTAATTGAAATGCAAGTACCGTACAGTTAAACTTTTGTTACCCGAACTCTTACTATCCAAATACTCTCATTTCAATGTGTGCCAATTATGTCCATGTGTTGAGAGTGTATTATACCGTCACATCAGGCAAGTCATCTGCATAGGGCCACTGTTCTTGAACAATCCTATTACCTGGATTTTTGATTATTCGGATTGGATCCAGACCTAATTGATCCAGATGGAAATCTACTGTTCTTTTTCTTTTTCATTGCACTGCCACTGCTCTGTCGTACTTATCAACATAATAATTCCAGAATGGTGCCTTGGAATTTGCATGAGCCGTACAAAGATGTTTACGATTTTGGGAACAACAGTTCAGAAATGTCCCAGTTTCTTGATGTGGTGAAGTTTATTCAGATAGCCAAGCAAGAAGACTTACTTGTTCTGGTGGGTTTGGGGCCTTACATCAACGCCGATGTGGATTTAGGAGGCTTACCCAGGTAAAGAGACATTTTGTGCTAATCATTTTTAGAATCAAGAGCTATATGATGGTATTTTAGAAATCTCAATTCTACCTAAAAGTGTCACATTTTGTTATTTTTGCAGTTATTTGGTCGGAGAAAGAATCAAAATTAGAACTTCACAGTCTGAATTTTTAGCTCGGGTGGATAGGTTTTTCAAACTGTTGTTGGATCATTTAAAACCTCTTCAGATAGAATGTGGTGGCCCAATTATCATGTTTCAGGTAACAGTTTTAAAATCGTATTTTTATCGTTACCTAAGATGTTGGTGCTAAATAAAAAAATGCTAGTATTACGGTTATATCTCTAGAAACCTCATTTCAGAAATATTATGTTGTATGTTTTGATTGTAAAATCTCAATAGTCAGGAAAGAAAAGGTCAAATGTCAAGAAACGTATCTCTTAAACCTACAATTTGTGTAATTCTTTTCTTTTTTTTCTAAAATGCCTGAAGTAAAAATTTTTTTAAACTTGCCAAATTTTAGTATCTGTAGTCAATAACTCTAACACAATCTACATAATTGGTATTTGATTTTTTAACAGCTCGAGAACTCTTATGGAATTGTTAGAGAGAATGAAGGTGATGATCAATATATGCTTGACCTAAAAACAATCGTGGAACAAAACGGAATAAAAAGTCTTCTCTTCACATCAGACTCAATCAGTGCTACGATGGATAGAAGATCTTTATCTCATTTGGGAGGTATGACTTATGAATCAATTTTATGAATCTTGTTATCAAATCCCCATTTTGAGGTGTTGCCTCCCGGATTACTTAACAATTATTATTATAGAGGTTAAATACCTTGTTGCCAACGTAATCCTCAGTCGTCTGAATGGCAAGCAGTTTCAATACTCTTGTGGTGTCATTGTCAAGCCTTAAACGTATAGTGTTCGCTAAGGTTCGAGGAGGTCATCAAGATGTAAGTGTTATCAAGACTTTTTGAAGACCTCCTAGGAGCGACAACTACACGTCTAAGGCTTGACAATGGCCCATTAAGAGTGACGAAACCAGTCGCTATTCAGACGACCAAGGGCATTGGTAACCCCCTAAAACTCCTTTGATATTATCCCCTAGAATAGTTTTCGAAAACCTGTTGTGCCACAGAAATTGATTTATTTAATTTTTATATATTTTATTAGGTTTTCCTGTCATCTTATGAATCTAAGTTTATTTAAAGTAAGTTTCTGGTGGACACACATTGTTGGGATGGGTAGTTAGCTGCAAAATGTAAAATTTGAGGTGCAACTTACAAAATGAATAATGAATAATGAATTTTATTTCCTCAAAAACAAACAATCATCAAATCATAAAAGACAAATTCACACAAACAGTTCAATGTTTATTTTATGTGGATTGTGGATTTACCTTTCAAGCTCTGCCTCAGGTGAACTCCTCATGAATCTCACACCAGAACTGACAGACGGAACTCAAACTCTCAATCTACGGGATCGATCATCAATTGTTCCAACAAGTTCCAAACCTACAATGTCAACAAACGTTTTAAGCATTTTGTCGTAAACTCTGGTGCAAATGTGGTTTTAGACCCCTCGGCCATTGATTAGATAACTAAATACCACACTAACAACACTGATAAACCAAAAGCCCAAGCGTCAAAGTTCTAAATTTGACTCTCAAAAACATACAGTATGTTCGGTATAGCTTTCAGCCGTTTTTGTCAGGTCTTGCATGGATAGTTTTAAATAGAAGTTTGGTTAAGTTACTCTTGTGTCCAATATATTAGCCCTTGGGGCTTAAAGGGACAAGGCTAATGCCTTAAAGTTAACACTACAAGATCACCTTTATTAGTGTTACAGACGACCAATTCAGAGACAGATGTTCTGGCGCAGTTGGAAACGCTTCAAACCCTACATCCTCACCGTCCTAAGATGATTCACCTAAGAACTGGCTTTCTGGACCATTGGGATCGGCCCCAGCATAATGCATGGCTAGCACATGGTATCCACTTTTTAATGCAATGTTTACATTTTTAATATTTTCATTCACAAGAAAATAATTGATGTACAATGAACTCCTTGTTTGGAAACTTCAGGACCAAATCCTCGTCTGCAAAAGTTATACGTGATAGTAGTGAATAAAAATGATTACAAAATAAAAATTGTGTGAGATAAATTTAAATATTGTAGCCAACTAAAGGCTTTAAAAGAATGAAGTGATAAAGTAATGGTAAAAGTGGTGTCCGTGTGTAAATGTATTAGTCGTACACTTGTGACTTTGTAAAATATCTGAAGTTTGTAACGAACAAATAAATGCGAGTGGGATTTTACTGTTCATTACCTGTTTTTGTACAAATCTTTATAAGTTATTTTGTGAATTTTAAATTGCACAACCCTTTACTATCATTAATATTAATTATTATTTTATAAATGCAAGATTATCAAATAAAGATACTAATACACCTCAAAAATTAAGACCAATGTTACTAACTAAGATAGGATGTTTTTAATCCATTTATTAAAAGTCCAGTTATCTTTTATTATCTCTCCTATAAGCAGTGCTCGATTTGTAAAAAAAGAGGTGCCAGAACTGTAACCTATTTCATATGATTAGTACCTATTAATGTACATATTTATGCCAATATTTTCATCTTTCCAAAAGAGAGGTACTGGAACTCCGTTCCTCTGTGTTCCCTCTCAAATCGAGCACTGCCTAATAAGCCTACCATAATTGCGGGTTTTACGTACGTAAATTTTCAGAGTTTGAAGCTGCCTTGAATGAAGCTATCAACTTCCCTGCGTCTGTGAGTCTCCATGTGTTTCATGGAGGGACAAACTTTGGATTTACAAGTGGTGTAACATGTGTGGACACTCCGGACTCATACCATCCACAGATCACTAGCTACGGTGAGTTTTAGCATTCATTATATCATATGTCCTATGTAAATGTCTATGTAATATAGGTTCAATCAGGTAGTACTCTGGCTGTGTAGGTGATAACTGAACTGGACTTTAGCCTTGTTGTCATCAGTCACTCATACCATTTCAGTAGCCAATATTGTTTGGGCCTGAAAATATCAAGGTTATGCTGTGTGTACATATTTCCAAAACGGTTGCAATGCAAGGATGTACAATTGGGGTTTTATTATTTTGCTCGTCGACACAGTTGCTAGTGCACTCACAATACAATAGTTGGTCAAAAAGGCTGAAGAAAGTGGTAGCACTTTTAAAACTGAGAAATAAGAAGTAATTTCCCAAATGTTTGGATTAATCCGACAACTCTTCCAACTCTGCTACTTCCAAAACTCAACATTTTCTTGTGTTCTCAATGAGTTTTTCATCTGTATTTCTAAATTTTAAGGGTACTGAGAAATGTTGTCAGTTTGACCTAGAGAAAAGTCTGAAGCTTTTTGATGATTCAGAAATGGACTAAACAGTCCTTGAGCATTGGGCTTTCTAGTGGTCCTGACTAATAAACCAGCTCATCTTCAAAAACAAAGCTGGCATCTCATTCATTCATCTTTGCATTAAAATGCGCTTTCTAGTGGGTGAGCCATCTACAATCTAGTCTATGATCAGTTTGAGTTCTGGCTTACAAGCTATTAGCATAGCTCTTAAGCTACTCTGTACCAAATCTAATCTCAACTTTTTTGTAGTCTACAGTAAAGTTCTGATTCCAGATTACGATGCTCCTTTGACTGAGGCTGGGGACTACACTCAGAAGTATTCCATCGTCTTGGAGGTGTTCCGATCAGTTCACCCGTCTCTTTACCACCCTCCCCCACCTGCTTCCTCCCCTCGGACACTTTCTCTCTCCCTCCCTCTCACAGCTGAGCTGCCCTGGCGTGACATTGTACAACAGCTGGTAAATGGTTTGTAGTTTTATTGTTGTTAGAGTAGCTTATTTTAACTTCACAAGTCTTCAATATCTAAATTTTAGTGTGGGAAAAAGTAGACTTAAGAATAAAAGGGAGAGATAAAAGAGAAAAATGTTTAGTGTGTTTTATAATGTAACACCAGTTATTAAAATTGTCATTATCGATCGTCTTCTCTCATTTGTGCTGATAAGCTTCTTCCATCCTCGACTCAGGTAGATTGAGACGATTTGACGATTACATCCTTCCTCTTCCAACTGCTATAGAGGTTCTCATTTTAACATTAGGTCCTCTTTTATGGCAACTTACTATTTCTTTGTGGTTATCCAACTCTTTTTTTTCTATAATTCAATTTCTCACGTTAGCAAGATTTTAGTTACTTCTTAATAAACCATCCTTTTTTATTTAACTAACCCATCCTGATGATTATTTTACTTATATTTTTCTGTCACATTTTCCAAAATTTTGCACACCAATTATGTTAATCATCCTTCTTGTCTTGTAGCTGCACATTCTCAGCAATTTTAATTTTACTTTTGAAACTTGTATTCAGCTTTTGTCCTGTTTGTTGAGGTAGGGTACATGTTTAGAATATACTTCATTGTGGTCTAGCCTCTGAATACTATGACACAATAAATAGGTTATATTACTTCTTGTATCGCCAAGTGATTCTGTTGAAGTCAAACTAGATACCATGGTTTCAAGCGCTTGTTCGCTCATTATTAAGTTTATATGGACATAAAGCATTGTCAATCCTCTTTAACATATATTTTCTGAAGATTTTTTATACATAAGACAGAAAACACATAAAACATTTAAAAACTGTGTAGCCATAGTTAAAAACACGTTAGACGACGCGTGCTTGTTGCCAACAATATTCAACCGACTCCACGCATGGGTTATCCAGAAAGGTTTTTTATCATGGTCATGCTGTTTTAAACGTGTTTTTGTGTGTTCCATTCATATTATGTACGACGAATCTTCGCTCTGTCTGTGTTGAAGATGATGACATGCTTAATGTGCATGTGATCTTGAAAATGAAGCCATAAAGCTTCGAAAAAATTGTAGTTTAACCCCATCAAAATCACTTGGCAATACAAAAGGTGGTATAACCTATATATACCAAGTTATTTTATGAAATGTATTTGTTTATTTACGCAGCCGCAACAGTTAACAGAGACCAGCCACTTTGTTCATCTGGAGGATCTACCTGCCGTGGACGGACAGAGGCAAAGTCACGGATATGTTCTGTACTCCTTCAGAATAAGAGTGTCCAGCAAATGCAGGATGAAGATATTCGGCCGCAAGCGAGACATCGTCATGGTTCTGTTAGACGGAAAACTGATTAGTCCGTCAGACATTACGGAAACTAACCACTTTGGCTTCTGGGATTCCGAGTGAGTAATGTGATCCAGTAAAAAAATCAAGAAGAAAATAATAAATATTTAATAAACGGTATCAGCATTCTGGCACATACTTTCTCCTATGAGTTTGTCAACAACCTTTATCATGTGTAAGCGGTGAAGAGTAAATATACGAAAAATGGGATTTGTACAATATTGTTCAGAACTTAAAGGAATATAACATTCTAAATTTTTATCAAAATCGTTCGGGCCGTTTTTGGGAAAACCGATTTTTCCGTTATTTTATGGGGTTTTCATGGGAAAATAACATAATTCACAATAACTTTTGAGCCGTAATTATTACAGAAATGGGATTTGTACAATTTTGTTCAGAATTTAAAGGACTATAACATACTACATTTTTATCAAAATCGTTCGGGCCATTTTTGGGAAAATCCTATTTTTCTGTTATTTTATGGGGTTTTATGGGAAAATCTCCATTAAAAATCAAAATTTCTCAAAAATAAAAAAACATCAAAATTGTAAGGACCATAACATACTATGTTAAATCAAAATCGGATTTTTTTCTAAAATCTTATTTTTGTTATTTTATAGGAAAAAAATATGGTGTAATATGTGTATTTTTGATTTTAGTTTAATATTGACCCCCAACAGAGTGTCCAGTGTATTAATGTGAATACACAATGTGTGTAGTAAAATGAAGTAACAACTTATTGAAAAATACAGCATATTTTATGTCACATCCAGCTGTAAAAATTTTTAAAAATTAGGGGAAAATAAAACAAACATACAGAGGGAAATGGCATCTATTTTGTATTAACATATTTAACTAATCTCCCATGGATAATCTATTCTTTCCTGTACCTAAATTGAACTGATCATTTTTAGTCTTGATGAACTTGACTGTCCGTCATATCCAGGAACCTACCTGATGGAGCTCTTGGTAGAGAACTGCGGAAGATTGAGTTTTGCAGACAGTCTAGAATGGATGACAGAAAAGAAAGGAATGGGACCAGAAAACAGAGTGGTTTTCAAAAATGCTGTTCCTGCAAGTAAAATCAACATAACTGGAATGCCTTTCCTTTCATCTTGGGTTTCTAGGTAAGCCCCTGTATAGTCACTGATTTGTTTACCTTATACGCATGAATTTGTTTTTATTGACGTTGATTAAATAAAATATCCTACTTCATCACATATTTATTCACTTTGTCTCATGAACATATTTCAGTTAGTTGTCTATCTTACTCATCCACCCACCCATAAACATTGCACCTACTGCTTTGAAATACTAGCCTTATTTATAGATCTAATAGGTAATGTTTGTGGTAAAAAATCATAATTTCAATTTTTTTCTTTATCCAAAAATTAACGGATAAGGCCCTAGCCTAGAAAATCTTTTGCTAAGGACTTGCAGTCCATACTGTGTACTCAAAAGTAAGTATTCATCAAACCTAATTGTTTTGTCACTTTTTTATCTCAATGCATTGAAAACAACATAAGTCGTAGTAAATAAACCTATTTTACATTTTGTGTAAATAAGGGACTAATCCCTTTATTTTGTACATGACAATTTTAAAATTGTTCCACAAAGGAAACTAACGTTACTATGTGGATAAATGTATGATATAAGAAAGAAAATATTTTTGATTCATATTTGTTTTTATTGACCAGGAATTGACAAAAAAGTACTGATTGCAACTACAGTTTGACAGGTTGGAAAAGTAGAATAAGCTACGAAACTAAACCGGCTCCAAGTTTTGTGAGAACCACATTTGAGCTGACTAGAGACGAAATCACAGACACGTTCCTTGAGATTGGTAACTGGCGGAAAGGTTTTGTGATGGTGAACGGTTTCAACATCGGCCGATACTTCTGCAACAGTCCGCAACAGGCGTTGTTTGTCCCAGCGCCTCTGTTGAAACCTGGCAAAAACACTGTGAGTATCTAGAAGTTCAAGTTGGTCTATATATTTTATTTTACTAAAATCCTCCTTGTGAATCAAAAAGATCATCAGCTATGTACCTGTGAAATTCTGTACTGTGTATGTACTTGAAGCTGTGAAGGTGAAACTCGAATAATGAGTTACATATTTGAGTCTGATTAAGTAGACATGATACATGACATTATGACATGATTAGTATAATAGACTATAATAGTCTATATACTATTATAGTCTGTTAACAAAATTTAGGTGGTCTCAGGGGAAGTTCCCCCCACATTTTCTTTCTTAATGTTGCAACTGATTGACGTTTTGGCAAACCTCAGCTATTGCCTCATTATTTTAAAGCTAGGATCAAGTGGAGGGGATAGATTTCTTACCCTAAAACGCCTAAACTTTGTGATTAACATTTACAGCTTAAAAGTTTTGTCTGTAGAAAATAAAAATGAATGTTATATATAACACAGAAATGGTTCAAATGTTTAACAAATGCCACAAAATTCTTAAATTGATGTTGATTTTTCAGGTTATTATTTTTGAACATTACTTCAACCCAATGTCGATGAAGTTTAGAACTGAACCTCTCTTCATCTGAATGAAACAAATATTCAACCTTCTTAGGATTGGTCACAATCATCGACAGAGTGCTACATTGTAGTAATTAAATCAACTTTCTGTTTCAATCATAAAATGTGTTCTTATTATTTACATTGAATAATTCCCTTCCCATCCACAGTATTAAACTGATAATGCAAGTTCTAGAGCTGATGTTTTGTTGCAGGATATTTAAAAATTGATCTAGATCTAAATACTATTTTTACCTTGTATGTTTGTAAATACTAAATAACTTGCATAATCTTGTCACATCTCAACAAAATATGTCAATTTAGGACATGTTTTGGTGTTAAAACAACATCCTCATCTTTGGTTAGGTATTTGTAGAGTACGCTTGATCAGTTGTTGGTTGAGATGCTGAAAGAATGGGTGCTCCCCCCCTTTTAGTTGCCTCTTATGAAACAGGGGATACTGTACTGTGCTGTCTATATTCTAAAGCCGGAGCCGCATGGTGACTATGATCTACAGTATGCTTTAATTTAATGTTGGTATTATATATTCAAATTTACATTGTTGACACAACCATAAACTCCATACATAGCTATTTAGGATCAGTGCAAGTGAGTGCTATAGACTAGAGTAGACAGTTGTAGGACTATGACCATAGTATGTTTAATCAATGGTGTGAGGTTAGTAACCTCATTTTATGTCAATGGTGTGACTTTGTTCCTAGCTCATAATTATGAAAAAATAAATGTGATTTTATTTGTTCGTAGAAATTATACAATTGCGTGAGGATCCCTCTTATAACACGGACTATAAATATCATATAATGAGTTAACTGTATAACGCTGGTAGTATCCTAAGTCTTTGATTATAGCTTAGATTGTGTGTATGGTCACGGTGCATTGAAACTGATCGTTGTAAAATATAATCATGTAACTTTTTATAGTATGTAGTGTGCATGATTGGAATCCGAATACACCAAAAACGCATCGAAGAACAGCCGAGAATACGCAAAAAACGCAAGGTTTATGTGGTGGTATTTGGTGCTGCTGGGAATCCAATCCAGTCCAGATTCGGATTTAGATTCGTGATTGCTATTCGTCTGAGCAGAAAGAAACTTTGTTTTGTTAGTACCAACGTCCAACGTCTGTGGTCTGCTTCTGCTGTTGTCATTGTCATTGTCATTTTCATTTGTCAATTTAATTGTGTGTCGTGCCGTACGTCATCATCGTTTAGTTTGTAAACCTCGAAATTGATAAGTTTGAAGTTTTCATTAAGTGAATCAATTTTATTTATAGAAAAATAAGTTAACACTCCAGTTAGGTCAGAACACTTACAGTACTTACGGTTTCAATTAAAAGGTAAGTTTTAAAATATTTACTGGCCTAGCCTAGGGCTTGTGAGCCTATGTTAGTTGGTTTGATAATTTAGCAAAGCAATTATTGGTATGATTATTACTTTATCTCAAGAATATCACAGAAATATAGTAAAGAAGTGGAAGAATGTGATAAACTAGGGCCAAGGGCAATACTGTTGTAAGATGTAAGGTTTTTTTTTTAAGTTGTCTAGTCTGAAACTAAGTTAGGCTTTATCTACTTGTAGAATAACATCACAATGACATGAAATGGAAACTATCACCATTTAAGAATCACAGTTATGAATTCATAGAGTTCCCATTTGGGAGGAAAACTTTTGTTGAATAGACAGAAAAATAGTTAACACGTTTAGTCTACCCTTAAATCAGTCAGGAGTCAAGTGTGATTTGCTTGTGGGTAGGCTAATTTAATTCTACAGTAGACACATGTGAATAAACAGGACTGACTACATACACAAAAGGTAGGGTGTAACTTAGGCCTATTTAGTCAATGGCGAGGTTCGCACAGGTCTAGTGTGGCTAGTGATGACTCCATGCTTTACTACTAAATAACACGCATGAGTATTAAACTTGGTGGATTCGTCTTTCTTTTCTACAGTAACATCAAGAAGGCAGTAAAAATCTGTCTGTCTCCATCCTTCTTACCTACGCTTTAATCCTAATTATTTTTTAATTGCGCCAAATATCGATCCAGATGACAGGGAAAATGGCTGGTGTTAAACTGTAGCATAAATTTTCAATATTAGGTTAACTTAACATTTTTAAGGTCAAAATCTTCTTTGTTCATTTAAGTTATGTTTTAAAAATTAATGGTTACATTTTTTTATGATCGAATCGAATAAATAGGCCTAACGGCTTTTTAAAGCTGTAAATAGCTTTACGTCCACAAATAAGACGCTTAGCCCCCAGAATAACAACTGTGAATATAATTTTGTAAAGTCTAAGCCTAGTTAGAAAAAAATCCCCTATGTGAAATGTAGTTGGAATTATCATTCTTCCAACTCTAGTCTGTACATCTTGAAGGTTCAAAACTGACAATGTCATTCTCAGACATCATTGACTTTGTAATGGGGCCCAGCATAACTTAGCATTAATGAAATATTGACTGCTTTTCTGCATGGTGGTCGTAGTCAGTTAACAGTTCTAGCTTAGTACTTCTGCTTTACCTAATGACGCTTGAAAACTTTAACTCATTTGTGCCTATTAAAAGATTATAGACCTAACATCAGTTTTACATTCATTCAGATCAAAAACATTACGGTAACTATCAATGTTTTTGGACTATTAGGCCTATGCCTGTCCTATCTATTATTTTTTAAATTTTGTACTTAAATAGGTACACCACAAGCTTTTTTTAAGGAACAGTCCAACCTGCTTGATATTTTACGTTGACCTTTTCAAGATAGCTTACGTAATTTAAAATTAAAGATAAAAGGAACCTAACTCCAAAATTTATCCTCTTGTATTAAACATTCACTTTTTAAGGCAAGCTTTCAAGTTCAATTTTATTCCAAACATCTTTATTTGTTCTTGCATATTATGGTACAATGAATTGCATAGTCAACTATAGGATGCTAAGTAGACAAACGTCCCATATATATGTCCAGCTGTTGCCAATTTTTTATTCAAAAAGAACATGTGAGAACCAGTCACAGAATGCGCTAGTGTCCAAGATTGTGTATTGGACAAAAATTATTAATTTGGATTAGCACAGTCAAAACAGGGGCTCAAACCGACTACGATGGATGATTTTTACTAAAAAATTAGTGGCAACTTTAACGTACCGGTAAGGGTTGGAGTCGTATCTTTTGTATCAGTAGTCAGAGATAGCATCAATATTCTATACACAATCTAACATACATCTACCCATGACAATGAAAATTACAACTCAATGGAAAATAAAACAAACCAAACGTCTGTTTAGCTGCTAAAAAAAGTAATAAAATTCATCCGTCATTAATTAAGATAGCTGACCGTGGACAAAATATTTTAATACAGGAAATATATTTTATTGCTTTCCTTTTTAATCTGTTCTGGTGAAAAGTAAATCGTTCTTGTCCTACTTATAAGGTTTTTTATTTAAAAAATTTATACGTGTCCAGGAATCACGTAATTTTTGTTCCTGGTGTTTTAGAGATGTGATCAAAACTTTAAAAGATTGTCTGGGAATAATAATATAGTCACAATCGGCCTTTTTTCATTTTATCTGAATAATATTCAGATCTAATTTCTTAAACATCTGTTCATTTTACGTAAATAATATATCTTATTCGACTTTAAGACTAATATAACAAAAAATCTTTTTTGAAGATCGAAATGATCACTACAATACCTAAAATCCTTTGATTTCCTGTCAGTGAGGCGACAAAAGAAGTAGCAGTGATGAAAGTAAAAATAGACCCGAGATGAGTGGCATAGGAGACAATTGAATCAATTAGCAAGTCTGTTCAGTCTGTCCAATGTGTTACCGAGGCGTAGTGGGCGAACTGAGTTGTAGGCGTTTGTGAATGATAACTGCTGTTTTGTAAAGAATGTGTTAAAAGTTTTTTTTATGTTTTATCACCAGTGGTGTCTCCTAATCGTAAACGCATTACTTCGAGAGAAATTCTAACCTGGTCCAAACTTGTCATACCGGGGTTGAACCTTAAATCCCGGGGAATACATGAATTTATAGAACCTCAATATAGAGGAATACCTGAATATTGAACTTGAATACCTGGGAGTACCTGAATATAGAACCTCAATACCGAGGAATACCTGAATTTTGAACTTAAATACCAGGGAGTACCTGAATATAGAACCTCAATACCAAGGAATACCTGAATTTTGAACTTGAATACCAGAGAGTACCTGAATATAGAACCTCAATACCGAGGAATACCTGAATTTTGAACTTGAATACCTGGGAGTACCTGAATATAGAACCTCAATACCGAGGAATACCTGAATTTTGAACTTAAATACCAGGGAGTACCTGAATATAGAACCTCAATACCAAGGAATACCTGAATTTTGAACTTGAATACCAGGGAGTACCTGAATATAGAACCTCAATACCGAGGAATACCTGAATTTTGAACTTGAATACCAGGGAGTACCTGAATATAGAACCTCAATACCAAGGAATACCTGAATTTTGAACTTGAATACCAGGGAGTACCTGAATATAGAACCTCAATACCGAGGAATAGCTGAATCTTGAACTTGAATACCAGGGAGTACCTGAATATAGAACCTCAATACCGAGGAATACCTGAATTTTGAACTTGAATACCAGGGAGTACCTGAATATAGAACCTCAATACCAAGGAATACCTGAATTTTGAACTTGAATACCAGGGAGTACCTGAATATAGAACCTCAATACCGAGGAATACCTGAATTTTGAACTTGAATACCCAGGGAGTACCTGAATATAGAACCTCAATACCGAGAAATACATGAATTTTGAAATTGAATACCAGGGAGTACCTGAATATAGAAACTCAAACCGAGGAACACCTGAATTCTGAACTTGATGGTATTCAAGTTAGAATCTCAATATAGAGGAATACCTGAATTTTGAACTTGAATACCGAGGAACACCTGAATATTGAACGTGAATACCGGGGATTATCTTAATATTGAACCTGACTAGGAATACATGATTATTGAACTTGAATAACAGGGATTGTTTAACTGTCACTCTCACAAAGGTTTAGGCAGTT